ACGTCCTACGTCACATCCTGTCTCGTGCTTCTTGGACGTCGGGGGTCTTTTAAGAATTCCGGTAGTTGGAGGATTTTCTTTGTTTTTTTTCCCAAACAACATCAGTTGAAAAGACAATTTTCTATTCTAGTGTGAAATCAATTATTGTTAAATTGGCTGCAAAAGAAACGAACACATTCAAGTAGCATGCTACCCACAGAGCTAGCTAGCAATCATATTGTAAAACCATGGATAATATTTGTTAAATTATGTCTCCTGTATGTTCTGTATAGCACAGTTACGGGTGTTAACTGCAATGCATGAAAAGTGAAATGAAGACATAAAACCTGCAACCAACCACATGTGCAGCTTGACATGTGATCCCAGAGGTGTCGCGTAAACTCACTTTGTATATCAAAAGCCTGAAAAAAGAGGGAATATGTGCAGCGACGTAGCGGGTGCGGCGACGTAGCGGGCGCGGCGCCGCGGCGGTTGGCTAAGCGGAAGGCGGAGAACTCTCCGTCATATATGAAACACAGCAGCGGGAATTGAGTTTACATGTTCACGTCTGAGTAGCTTGTATAAAACAAAGAAGTTTAAGTACACAAACCTAGAACAAAGTATTTGCTAACAAATAACGAGGCCTTTTGTGTGTCTTTTTTGAATAATAAACCGCTTGTGAACAAACGCAGGGAAGAAGCTCAAGTTTACCTAAACGTACAGACAACTCGCCACCCAAGGAAACATGGCCGGTTTGTCTTTTTCATCACACTTTGCAGTAATGGCGTTTTTCCCGGCTCTGTGTATTTCGTGTGCGTATCATCGGGAGACGAGCCGAGACGACCGCAAGGACGAAGTGGAAAGATAACAGTTTGCAGAAGAGAAGGCGGCCAGCAATGGAAGCAGGCGGGAGAGGAGAGGAGGAAGAGAACAAATGAGCGGGTTTTGCTGGGATTCGGGCAGCCGGGGGGATCATTACCATACATCAGGACAACGAATGAGGCTTTCAGCGAGCGGTAATAGGAATTTGATAAATCACGAGCCGAGAATTAACTAGACGTCAAAACAATGAGAGCACTCTGATAGATGAAGAGGGGATGATGGCGTAGATTAGTCAGAGGAGGGAAGGAGGCCGAGGAGAGGGGGGGGGTGAAAACGGGAGAGTCCAGACAAGGTCGGGGGAGAGCGAGAGTAACGGGGGGGGGAGACGTGACACACTAACCAGAACGATTCGTTCAAAATAGAGCATTCGTCCTTTGTAGTCCGCCTACATTGTCCACAATCCAACGCATCCACCAAAAGTCTCCTCGTGCTAGCAGCGGCTAATGCTAGCAGCGGCTAATGCTAGCCGCGGCTAATGCTAGCAGCGAGTAGTCGTCGCCTGCGAACACGCTTGAGGAAAAGTATCACACTTGACGCAGCTTCATCCCTCCGGAGCGACAACAAACAAGACTTGTGCAGTAGTACTTGCAAAGTTACACACTAGTACTCGCAAAGTTACACACTTTGATGTTTTACTCCCTCCCATCAACCACTAGTGATGCTGCTTTCTGCATCAAATGCCTGCACGGTTCTTACTCTGGGGAGCAGGAATACCAGCGCCTAATTTCCTGGCAATCTATTTAAGAAGATGCAGTCCAGACGGAGCAGATACGCCATCAATCCACACAGCCCCCCCCCCCCCCCCCCCCCCAAAAATATTTTCTATTTCCCAGGGCGGGAAGGAAAAAAAAAATGTGTACCGAATTTTGCTTTAAAAGGGAGGGTTTTTTTTAAAAATTAACCCTATTTTTTATTTCCCGCATTTTTTTCCCCCCGCGGGGTAAAGGGTATGTTGGTGGGCGAGAGGGGATAATAAAAACTTCCCTAACCACTAGTAAAAACGGGGGTTATCTGGGATGCCCCCCCCCCCCCACCCCACTGCACTGCTGATGGACGGACTTCTCTCTCTCTCCACACAAAGTCGTAAGGCAACGCGTAAAGCTCGATCTTCTGAATGCATCCCATTCCGGTACATTCCCCCCCCCCCGAATCGCACAATATTCAGTTAAAGGCTCATTTGCTGCGGAGCGCTACGCTGATGGCCCCTCAAACGCCACGTTAATGAGCTGTGAGAGAGGCCCATCAGTCGCCGCGGCAGATGCGCACTCCCGGTATTATTTATGGGCTGTAATTGGCGCGCGTTTCCTCGGGCGACGGCGGTGACTCCACTCCGCAATCCGGAGGACGAGGGGAGCACGTGGGCGGCGAGTGGGAGGGCGGCGGGGGGCTCGTATACATGACGCGCCGTGGTTCTTTTAAGTCACAAGTTACATTTTCATTCAACAGCGGACGAATACCAGGATGTAAATACAGATTAATAAACACCGGCCTTTGTGATTTTGGGCCAAATAAGTGAAATGGAATATTAAATGAAAGTGTTCCAGTCTGGTGCGTCGACCAACTACTCGCCCGCCAGGTTCCGTGGCTTTCACAGTCTTACGGGAAGCTTAATTGTAAGCTTTTAATCAGGACGCCATCAGCGCTGAGCCGACAACCAACGACGAGCTTTGCTGCTAAAACCGACTGATTTGGGGTCAAAAATCCCCTTTTACATGTGCTGCAGCCACTGAGCCACAGTCGAGCCGCGCTTTAACCCGCCCGCCGCGTGCTTGTGTGCTCGGGAACCATCAAGAGAGCCCGCAAATGAGAGGTATGGATCGGCGTCGGATTCGGCCGGTCGCCTCGGGGGCATCGACGGGCAGGACTCAGAGGTCGTTGGGTCGATGGCGACCTCCTCGCCGCATCACTCGCTCTGGGCCTCGGCCAACGACTCCCGGCTGGATGCAGAAACGTTGCACGCCTGCGTTTGTCCTCGGCCGTCGCGGACGCGTCGACAGGTCCCGTCAGGCCGCCTCTCGCTCTTCCAGTTGGCAGGTAGACGACCTGTTGGCAGGTCTATTCCACCCCCCCGTCTCACAGCGAAGGGCGCCGCGTTAGATTAGCGTGTGCCTCGCTGAGTGCAGGTGCACATCTAGAATGTGGATCTCTGCCAGCGGCGCTCAGATAATGTGTTTCGCCTTGTTCACTTGGCTCGGAAAACGCTGACCTCTGAAACTGATGATTGTGTTTTTCCCCTTTTAATGTTTTAGGTTCTGCTGAAAGACACAAAACACGGAATCCACTCGCAGCGTGACGAATGGAGACACCTTTTCTGACGGATTGCTGCGACACGGTCGTCTCTGGACACGAGCGACTGTATACATATATTTTGTTTTAATGTGGACGAAATTCAAAACTAACGACGTTCCCATCAGTCTCGGCTGTACTCTTGGTTTAGCATTAGCAGGCTAACGCGCTAAAGTAAGACGGCCAGCATGACAAAACATTGCAAGCCACAGATATGTTGACGCTGTGGTTGTTAGCGTGATAGCACGCTGACATTAGCATTGAGCTAAAAGCACCACTGTGCCACATGAAGCCGTTAGCACGCATGTAGCCGCTTGTCTAAAAACTGTCAGTCAAACATTAAAATTGGATTTACTGATTATATTCCCCCTTGTTAAGAGAGTAGGTCCAATATTTACTCCCTCGTGCTACGTTTTTGTTTCATCCAAGGGAAATATTTGTGTCTTTAGCTGCTAAATCCTGCACCTTGTTTGACAGCTATTCGTCTCCCTTCTGGTGCTGAGCAGCTATTTCGTTTGCAGAGCTCATGAGAGCATCCAAAATCTTCAAAAGTTACAAATATTATCACGGTACAAGGAACGTTAATGTGCGAAACAACATCTATTTCCAGATAATTGTGGTTAATGAGAGGAGAGTCTCATCGCTGAAATAAAACATCTGCGGCGGGTTGTTTTAAAAATGATGTAACCTGCTCTCAACACCGAAATATGCTGTTAAAAAAAAACCACGGGAAAAAACGCAGATCTCGGCCCGTGTGCCAGTGAGCGCAACGCACGTGATGTTGCAAAACATTTTGTGTGCAGATAATGCGGAGTGACGGAGCTGGAAGAGAGCTGTCGGCTCAGTGCGCGTCGGCTGCCTGGCGTCGACAGACACAAAGTTACACTCGACTTTGCTTTGGCTCCTTTTCACTCATCAATCACTCACTGGGAGACGGAGCCGACTCGGCCACGAGCGCTGTCATATTCTGCCAGACGTGTGGTTGTAAGAATAGCTCCAACGGAGGGGGAATAAATAAATAAATGTAAAAGAAACTACGTCCAGTCTTAAATGCATCATAAAGCGAGAAAGGCTTGGTTAGCGGTTAGCGGTTAGCTCACCCACGTCACCAAGCCTCTCGATCCAAAAGTATCTTGAATCATACTACTTTCTGATGTGGCCAGGCCATTTGTCTTTTTTAATAGTATAAAATTAAACTTTCCGTCCCCCCCCTCCCTCTGTTTCTGCCTCCGTCTGCAGCTCGTGTCTCTCTGTCGCGATGGGATTGATGCGTCTCTGTGACTGACGGAGTACACGAGCGGCTAAACGCGCGGCTCAGCGCTGTCTGGCAGCCATCCCCCCCCCGTGCAGGGCCTGTGAGGGAGGAAGGAGGCCGGGGGGGAGTAGTTGGCGCTGTTCTCATACGCCTACACCCCCGATGTAGATGCGCTATTTCTGAGAAGTGCATATCATTTGGCGCGGCGCTCTCGTGGTAATCTTAATTAATTCATGGACACTTTTGACGTGTACCTGGAAGCGCGCGAGGCCGGTGTCTCACAGCGAGTGTGTGATTGCTGCTTTGTGACGCCCAGAAGGGAGCGAGCCAGATCCAGACCCATTACAGAACGCCGTTTACTTTGCTTCTATATGTGTTGATTTTCCAACACAAGCACGGTTTGAATGATCCTGTCGCGTCTTCCAGCTTCTCTACTTGCATCTGAGAAGCTTTACTCCTGCCAGCTGTCTGCTGACTGGAGGAAAGGCGGATGTCTCCATCTGCTGGTGGGGGCCTGGCCGCGGAACTACTCCTCTCCACTAAAAAGGGGCTCCATCAGCAACCGGTTTGGTTTCCTCATTGGTAGGGAAACATATTGTTTTCTGCATCCATGTATGCAAAGGGAAACACTTTATTTAGGCAGGTAACAATACAAGAACAACAACAACACTATGTAGAAAAGCATATTTTCCTATTAATGAACTTTCCTCATCTAATGTCCTCTTCTGAATTGGTGCATCGTATATTGTACTTTATCTCCATCTGCTGGTGACATACGTTGCCTGGCCGAATAATAAATAATGAAAATAGTTGTAGCGGTCAGGTTTGTATGTGGATACTTTTAAATGTGATAAAGCTGAATATAAAATATGACCCATCAAAGAGTAATTATTCAACATTTTCCATCCCAAGTCCACGGTTTCAAATGATAAACAGGAATCAGAGTCTACAGCAGCTCAGTGAGGCCAAATGAAGACTTGATGCTAAAGTTAGCTAGCATGCTAATGATTAGCTGGTTGATACGCGTTGATTTCTACTTCAACGTTTATTTGTGATCTTAAATCAATACATCTTTAAAAAATGTTAGAAATACTATCATTTTGGCTTAGTAGACTTAGATAAATATAGTATCACAATAGCGCTCCAATGTCTGTGGTTATGGCCGGTTGTTTGACACACATTATGTTATCAACACACACAACACACAGACTGAAGCACCACCAACACCCCGTTTAAAACATTTATATCCCTTTGCTTTGATCCATAATTATATCATAACGTAACGTTCACCATACACATACATTACTTTGATTTACAGACATAGTGTTTGTTTTTAAATGTCTTTTTTTCCAACGGAAGCAACATCTTTTACCTGAAAAATAATATAAATATAAACCTGCGCACGTTTAAAAAGTTCTTATTTTGTTGTTACAAAATGTTTAAGCCAAATTCCCCAAATATGGTTCTTTTATAGTTGTTTTGTCTTTGTTTTGATGACTGTCATGTAAGAGCTATTGATTACGTCTCTGTACGTTTATCATAAATAAATAATCGAGTGCTGCACTACAGACTAGATCGGATAAGAATACTGATCAATATAACGAGTAATTCACATGGGAATTGATCCGTACCGTGTTCAACACATCAGTCTGTCCCACGGACCGGCCGTCACTACACAACCACCTGAAGGATTTCCACGGCGCTCGCGTGCTTCGTGGGGTCCGACCCCCCCTGCTGGTGGCCGAACTCGAAGGCGATCCTGAGCTCCCCCATGCGGCAGCGAGGCAGAACGTCCGGGATCCACTCGATCACGAACGGGCCGGCCTCCGTCTGCTCCGCCGCCGGCCCTGCGGGACACAACGACGGAGTGCAAATGACGGCCCTCCCCTCCTCCGGCGCGGCGCTTCCCGGTGTGCCGGTCACTCACCGACTCTGAGGAAGGTGCGGAGCTCCATCGGCCGGATGGCCTGCGGCCGGTCCGTCCTCGGCCCCTCCGGCGGCTCCGGGTCGGGCGGCGGCTCCGGGCAGCGGAAGCGGGAATAAGAGCCGTCGGCGTTCTTCACAAAGCTCTGAGTGAGCTCCAGAGGCACCTGAGGGGGCCGGAGAAGGTCCAATGACACACGCGTCCTCTGTGCTTTGAGAAGGAAACCTCCGGACGCCACTGAAGTCAGAATGCGCGTTTACCTCCGAGGTGTCAAAGACGCGTTTGACCTGCGTGAGGCTGGTGATGTGCCACGTGTGCTTGCAGAACGAGCCCAGAGGGAGTCCGTCGTTCCTCACCACCGCTGCCGACCACACAAACACAATTTCACCCCTTCATTTTTGGCTTCTGGTTAAAACTCACGAGTACTCAAGAGCGTTCGCTTCAAATCAAATGAATGAAGTGCGAATGTTCCACCTGAGGTGAAGTTCGGCAGCCTCTTCTTCTTGGAGGCCAGCGACAGACGGTGCAGCAGAGCGCTGAAGAACTCCTGCGGGATGTGGTACACCAGAGGTTCTGGCTTCCCTGGCGAACAAAGAAACACCCAAAAACGTTCACCGAATGCAACTGGAGCCGGACATCCTGCAGAGATCAGCAACTAACAGAGCTTGATAACATTCTCATTCAACGCAGATTAACACAGTACCTTTTATGGAAAGAAACCGCGGGTTAGCATAGCTTAGCATAAAGACCAGTCCAAATGGAAGCATTTCTCCAGATTTCAAATATTATTTTAATAATAATAATAATAATAACAACAAAAAATTGGTGAAAGTGTTTTAGAAATAATGAATAAAAAGGGTCTTCCACCCAGAATATCTTACTATTAATGGGTTACTATTGATTTAAAAAACGAATTATGTCATTCAGGAAGAATTTCTGCAAGAAGAAAGTGGAGAATTCCCCCAGAATATGGACGTAAATCTTCAGCCATGAAGGTGAAGGCCGTACGATCTTCCTCTTTACCATCAAACTGGTAGTGCATCGTCTGGTGGATCCTCTCTGTGACGCCGGCGAGCCACTGCTGGAAGCCCAACGTCAGCGCCCGCTCATCCACGACCTGCATACCCCCTGAGACACACACACACACCATAAACACCACAAGCAGCACTCCTTCATCATCTTCTTTAAGCCTCTAGATGGACCACCAGTCAGAGGTTTACTCTTTCAAGTCTGTCAAGTTGTTGCAAATGCTGTCAAATTAAATGTTAAAAATATGCCCACAGCAGTGCGACCCTGTTCTGTGGGATTAGCGCTGCGGGATTAGATGAGGGGGGAGGGGGGGGGGGGGTTATGATAAAGATAGAGACAGATGTCTAAGACGATGTAAGGCTCTTTGACACACAGATTTAGGCGGCAGAGAGATGGAGGGAAAGAAAAAAGGGCAGCGAAAGGAGGGCAGACAGGCGGAACCTGGAGGGGCGGGGCCTCTTCTAACGGGACCACAGGGGCCACTGAGGCCGAGGAGGAAGGACGGAGGAAGGGTGGGGGCGACATGCACCGGCGCGGTGGTCACAGGTAGAGCGGGAGGAGTTACGGTGAAACCACCAGAGAGAGATTCATCCAGGCGCAGCTTCTTTGTTTTCAGGAGGGGGCTGATCGGGTCGGCGGGGCGAGGCTTCCCGCCGGGACCGGGAGCGTTCTGCTGCACACCTGAGAAAGGCCAAACGCAGAGAGATGCACTTTAAAACTTAGAACTCAAAAGAATTTTGAGAGGTGTGAACATTTTCTCGAAGGGAGGAGAGCAACGACACAATTAGCTTAGCTTAGCTTAGCTGTGGTTAGCGCTGCTCGCTGCAAGATGCCGACACAGCAACAGGAAAGCTCCATAAAAGAAAAACCTCTATAACACGTACATGACTTTTGATTTGGTCTGTTTTCATATTTATTAAGAGGGTGTTATTGACGCATTGCTAATGGAAGTCTACTAATAAAGAGGTGCTGCTAGTTTGTGTTGTTGAATTGTGTTAAAGTGTTTCTAATGTTTTCTTCATCTCATTTATATCAATAAGGACTTTGAATAAAAGCAGCACCTCTCTAAACTGAACTTTATGACCTTGACGATGCTTGGATTTATTGCAGGACTCTCATCTAACTCCAATCTAAACTAACGCTTTACCATTCGGCGTGTACTTGATGAAAGCGGCAAACTCCGACGCCAGTTTCTCGTCGCTTGCGAGGGCGCACACGCAGGCGTAGAAGTGCAGGCAGGGCTGCGACGGGTCCGGCCCGGAAGGCGGAGGGTGCAAGTCGGCGGATCCCCCCGCCGCATCGACGCCGGCTTTGCTCCTCCTGCCGCCGACCTGGCAGGCGCAGTGGAAGACGGCGTGCTGCTGCTCTCTGCCCTTCCTCTCGCTCTTCACACCCTCGGACAGCCCGCCCGCACCGACGGTGAGATGCAGCAGCCCCAGGGGATGCTGGGAATCCACGTGGCACTTCACCACCAGCGTGCCCTTGGCCACGCGCTGCACCAGGGGGCCCGGGGACTCCGTGGCGAGCCGCCACAGCTCCTTCCTGGCTTGGATGGAGGCCTGCAGGCCGTCCAGGACGGAGCTCTTCAGGGTCAGCGGCGTGGAGAAGGCGCTGCACTCGATCGCCTGCTTGATGTGGACGCACAGGCTGTCCGGGGGCTGTTTCGAAGCGGCCGTCCCGGACTCCGCCTCGCCCCGATGCGACCTTTGACCCTGCCTGCACGAGGGCAAAAAGCAGCGTCCCAGGTTGATGCGGGTCAGCAGGGTGGCGCCGTCACCCGTCGCTATGGCCGTGTCCGTGGGGACGAGCTCAACGAAGCCCAACTGCGTGGCGGTGGATCCTCTCCCTCTGTGACGCACCGAGAACACCTGCACTCCTCCGGCCGAGGCGCCGCCCGGGCCCCCTGCGCCATCTCCCCCTCTTCCTACACCGGCGCCCTCCTTCCCCCTCCTCTCCTCGCTGTCTACGATCACTCTCACCGCGTCCACCGCGCATTTCTTGCCGCTCCTGCCCGCCGCCGAGGAGGCGTTCCTGAGGGAAATCCCGCACGCTTTGTTCTTGCAGCTGAGCCCCCGGGTGCCGTTGTAGACGCCGCACTGCGGACACTTGCGGATCCCCCGCAGGGTGGCCCTCCCCAGGTTGGAGAGGAAGGCGGGGGCGGCGGACGGGGTCTTTCTGCCGTCCCTCTGCTTCGCCGCCAGGTGGGCCGGCGCGGGCGAAGTCTGGGGAGCGGAGGACGAGAGCGCGCCGGATGGCGAGGACGCCGTCACTTCCGGCTCCATTCTGCTACTAACAGTTGAGGTGGAAGAGACGGGATTCACACCTGGATGGAGACGGAAAAGAAGACGTTTCTGTGGGAACAATTTCATTATTATTCTTTTGGGGCCAAAGGTTTTTAAAACAGCTCAAATTTACCTTTTTTTTTAGTGGTCATTTAGTAGTCAGGATGAGGGTATTCCAAACGTTTAAACAGTATTGTATGGATGATAAAATGAAACCAATAAAACACATAAATTGATATTTTGTATGATACTTCTTATTGTATCTATTATGCTACATTGTCTGTGGGAACTAAATAATAAATATAGTAAATCGTAATTTCATTACCAATAGTTTGTACTGGTTAGTAGAATATGTGCAGTAACTGCACAAGAATAAATCTTTTTTTATGCAAAAAGTAAACTTTATTTAAAACGACTTGGACTTGTAAAGTTTTGCACACGATTTGACACAAATAAATGCGTTATAATGCTCCATATTGTATGAAGTGAATGTTGAAATGCGGCTCCAGCTCGCTGTAAACACAGCAGCCGCGTCACGCACGAGCCACAAATGCCTAAAATACCTGAGTTCGGCTTCTGTTTGGTCCAAATTCATCTCAACTGTGGCCTCCAAAACCGTCTCGACCGTCGCCATTGCTCCTTACATCCTGACAACCGCATTGCGCCTGTAACGACTCCCCCCATTGGTCGGAGGCCATCACGTGGTGGGAGAAACGGGGGCGGCGCCTCCGGGAGCGCGGGCTCATGGGAAGTGTCGTTCATGTAGACTGACGGTCGGGTGTGAGTTCCGACTAGTTTATGGTCGATTTAAAAACATGAATATGTATGAATATATGAATATAGGAAACTTGCTGGTCTTATCGGAGTTATTACCGGTGTGTTAAAGACACATAACAGGCTTTGCTTTAGCAAGTTAGCGAGATCACTGTGAGCACCGGTCAGCTGAAGACCTTTACCGACCCGGTTTACTCACAAAGCCAGATGTCAAAGCGATACTTCAGGAATAGTTTAAATATACGTACAGTGACCTTGTTGAATGGATTGACCAATTGCCTGGGAAATTATTCACTACTTTTGAAGTCTTTAGATGTATTTGGTTCCACCAAAAGTATAAAAATCCAAATAGAATTTGGAATGACATAGAATTTAAAACTAGTTGCCGATTTCCTTTTTTTGAATGAAAAAATTGCCATAATGACTATATAGTGTTGTGCAACCTCACACATACTGTACATATGCAGGTGATTATTTCATTATTACTCGCGCAATGTTTTATATTCAGAAAGAACTGATAAATGAATCAGCAAATCTAATTATTAAAAGAGAGAGCGATTTCATTTTTAAAGCATAAGTTCTATGGTCCAACACCAAGGTTTTTAACTTTTGGTTGGGAAATCTAGAGACGTTTGAACATTTTTACATTGGAGAAAACCATTAGCTGAGAAAATTACCGGGTTGATCGCACATGAAAACAATCTACTTGTGTTACCAGAGAGTCTGCACACATTGAAAACCACACAAGCGTGAGACAACATAAATAAAGTTCGGTCAAACTCCGGTTTTAAAGATAAGATGCAAACAGTGTGACTGGGACCTGTTTGAAGCGTCAGCATTTTAATGGGGACAAAGCAAAAACTCAAACCATGTTACTGAAGCATCGGCTGAACTTCCCTTCGCCAAAACATAGGTTGAAAACATTCTTAGGCACCGCCGACTCCTGGAGGATTTTTGGTTAAACTAAAAAAAAAAAAAAAAAAAGTAACTCACAGATAAGGCAACACAATGGACCTCCCCCCTTATTAAAAACGATGGTGGCCACAGTGCAAAACTTGGATCCCCATTCGGTTGTTTCTTGTCCTATAATAACAATGACGTGGTTTTGAGACAGAATAAGTTAAACGCTGTGTTGCTTGTGTTGGAGAGGCTCTTGCATGGCTGGCTTTGTTTTTGCGAGCGCCGCTGGACGTCTCTGCTGTACACGGAGCGGCACGGGACGCTGCGGTCGGACGGCGGCGTGTGGAGTCCAACAGGAAGCAAGGGCGCTCCCTTAATTAACATGTTGTCTTTATACAGATTCAGTACAATTCAACAGACTGTTTGGTTATATACATAAAAACAGACAAAAGAATGTGGAATGCAAAGACATAAGAAAAGAAAAAACAACCTAGTATTTCAAATTTTGTGAAACGATAACCTTAAGTATTTGTGCAATATTTACCTGCCAATAAGTAAGATAAGAGTGGCAGTAATCCCTGCAATTGGTTCATTTGAGAGATTGAAAATCTAATTAAAAAATAAAGTTGACAGTTGACAGCCACCCAGTGTTTTATAAATAAACATGAAAAGGTTTCGCGTGTTGGATGATTTCGACGGTGTCCCTGCCACATTTTTCATAAGACAGTCCCGAAATGAAACACAAAAAAAAGGCAAAAGCTTTTTTATACAATGTCGTCGTTTTAAAGTTGCTCAAAACAAAAACAAAAGAACAGAAATGACACAATTTCATCAGTTGCAAAAAAGAAAAAAATGGCGTAGTCCTTTCTGTTTCAGGGGGGAGATGAACTGGACATTGTTCTTGTGTGTAAAAGCAGTTCATGCGCACACACACACACACACACACACAGAACACACACACACACGCGCGCAAACACACACAGGATTCTCTTTAGTCTGTTCAGTTCGTCCCGGGAGATGAAAGCAAAGGATTTTTTCAATAGTTTTGTGTTGTTTTTCTCCACTCTTCCCCTCGACCGGCCTCCTCCGTCTGCTCAGCGATCTTCTATTTTCACAGAACGACCCGGACCCTGAGAACTGCCTCGGACTTGTTGTTCACGTCGGCGACAGGTGGACAGACCAGAAGCCAGAGCGAGAGGTTCCAATTGAGGAAAAGAAAAACAATTAAAACCCGACGGACTACGGATGAGCGAGCGCCGTGTCCTCCCCGTGTGATTGTTAAACACCGGTAGAAAACGCTGCCCTTGCTCTTTGGCTCTGAAAACAAAGCCCTGGTGTTTTTCTATAATTAGTTGGTGTTTCTCTTAACTTAAAATGTGGCTGTGCTAGAAATATCTACACACGGTTGTCTCATTTACATTTGGCCGGTTATCTGCAGGCATTACAAAAATACGCCAAACAAAAAAGATGGGCCCAGGAATGCGAGGTGCACGAGCATCGAGCTGTTTTCACTGTGTTTACGTGTTCTGGGGTGGATCGCTTTTCTTTACACTTGCAGATTTGGGCAGTGGGTGAAGTTATGGGCTGGTAAAGTTTGATTAAAAAAAAAAAAAAAAAAAAGAATAAAAAAAATGGTACCAGCTCCTCTAACAGAATAACTGTGTGTGACAGAGAGAGAGCATCTAATGCTGCACCCCCCCTCCCCCCCGGCAGAGTATCATCCTCGTGGCCCTTACGGGCTTTAGAGCGGCCTACTGTGACCGCTGATCAGTGGGTGTGGTAGCCGGCGGCGCTCATGCCGGCCGTGTTGGTGAGCACGGCCCCGTTGACTCCCTGGCCGGGCTCCACCATGGCCCCGTTGCTCACGGCCCCCACGCCGGTCCATCCGGCCCCGGCATGTAAATGACTGGAAGGGAAGACGGGAGACGTTCAGGACAAAAGGAAACGATCCCCCCTGTGAACTCACGTCCGAGGGTTTTTTGGCTTTGTTATCACAGAACGTCTCCCACGACTTTTGATTGGAGACTTCAACTTGTGATCCAGACAACTGAGAATCTGGCTCAGCAAAAATCATCCCACTGCATTTAGACCTCATCCCACTAAGAGAGATTTGTGGGAGTACTCAATAACATCCTGAGATACTTCTAGAATATTCTTATTTATAACACACGCTTTAGTAACTTTGCAGATGCGTATATAAAATATAATGGGTATAATATACACTGTAGCATCGCCACTTTCACACAAGTAAAAAACTGCATAAGTGTATAAAAGGGCCAGCAAATCTGCTGCTGCCGCTAGTCATCGCCATTTAGTGTTGCCGTGGCAACGGCAGCCTGACAGCAAAAGCGCCCGAGACCGGCGTCGCCATCCCAGTACTCACTTGTAGCCCTGCTGATCCCAGGTCTGCCCGTAGACGCCGTAGCTTGGCACCTGCCATCCGTTGGGCACGTACTGCCCGAGCTGCTGGGCGGCCGTGTTGCTGTACCACTGACCCCACTGGCTGTAGGGCTGCGCCGCCGCGAAGCTCACCGTGCTCTGCTGCGGATTCAGGGCGGCATTTGAAGGAGGCGATCGAGCGCTGCAGCGACCATTTAAATGAATGCCACACAAACGGGGGTTGGTACGCACCTGTGGCATCTGTACCTGCTGGATGGGGCTGACCATGTCGGTGGTTTCTTTGCCCCAGTAACACTTGACCACGTAGCCCTCAATGGACGTGCCGTTGACCGACACGATGGCGTGAGCTGCCGCCTCGTGGGAGTTGAACCTGCACGCACACAAGAGCAGGACTGTTCAAACGGGACGTTCGTATCAAACGATGCACCCAACTCAATGCGGTTTGATTTACACACGTGTGTGTGTGTGTGTGTGTGTTCAATGTGGTACACTGAAATGTTTGTTTAATGCAAATAACAACGATAGATGACATTAACTTATTAAAATTGATGACATTTAGAACTTTTCAGTACAATGAAAATGGGAATTGCTGAGTCGGGAGAGCATCGGCCAATCGGTGCCCCCGTAGTTCCCATGTGACCGTGAAAGCTTCTTAAATGTGTGACGTGTTCAATCGGGGGGTCGCCTCACCTCACAAACGAGTAGCCTTTGTCCGGGAAAACACGGATTTCCATTATTTGGCCGAAAGGTGAGAAAGTCTGTCTCATGATTTGCTCTGAAAAAGAAAAAAAAAAAACATAAAAATTCCCGCGTTGAAAGTAGGACTTTTGAGCCCGGCGGCCTGAACCCGGTTGACCAACTCACCCGTGAGGCCGGTGGTGACCCCCCCGCAGTACACGGTGCAGTTGCTGGGGCTGGACTGGTTGACCACCTCGTCGAAGGATAGCTGCTTAGTGTTGGGTGCTGAACGAGTTGAGAGCAAAAGTTTCTATTTGACCTGAATGTCTTTTCTCAGAAATATATCAATACAACTGTGCGCCGGGTTAAAATACAGACATTTGATTCTTTTGGTTTATCATAAAAATGATCATTCATTGTGTGTGTGTGTGTGTGTGTGTGTGTCCTAGGAGCGCTGAGATCAACTCAACTATAATTATTCCTCTTTAATTCGCTCACAGTGAACTTACTCTCGTTTGTAGTTTTAGGCGCCGGCTTCCTCGTGGCCCAGTTGGTTCTGATCTGCCTCCCGCCCAGCCACTGTCCTCCCATCTGCTGTATGGCGTTCTCCGCATCCTGGAATGGGGGGGGAGAGAACCCAAAGAAAAACAACTGCTCAGTCGCCGAACGCCTGCACGTAATAGCCGCTGAGCTTCGGCTACGCTAACAACCGGAGCCCGCTAATGTTGGCTCAGTCCTCTAACACATGGGCGTCAGCGGCACACTTACCCATTTGTTGAAGAAGGAGACAAAGCCATAGCCTTTAGATTTACCTGTGGCCATGTCTTTCACCACTCGACAATCCCTACGGGAAAAAGTAGCACTCGGTCACCAGAACGTCGATATCGACGGAGCGCCTCGACAGCGACGCATTCATCCGTTCATCGCTCACTAAAGGCCGTTTAAAGCTGCAGTCGAGTTCTATAGTTTTCTTTTTGTTAACGAATGTGAAAAGACCACAAGCAACAATGTATCTAGTAACAAGTAATGAGTGTGTTCCTCTGAGCCACACAGCGCCATTAAAAACTCATCAATGAGGCTCACTGTTGCCGAGGGCGACAAGTTCCTTCATTATGACACCACACACACACACGCGTGCACGAATAAAACATTAAATATCGATAAAGAAAGTTCAATGAAGGGATTTAAAGTATGCCGATGATGTGATATAAATTGAAAATGTAGAATATAATACATTTTAGAAATACACTTTGAACGATCATCAGAAGAGACTTACGATATTTTCCCAAACGGAGCGAAAGCTGCTTTTATGTCGTCTGTGGTGATTTCAGGACTTAAATCTCCAACAAAGACGTGGAAGTGACCTAAAAAAAAAAAAACATACATGAAATCAGTGTGTCAACATTGACTAATAACCAAAGTGTGTATAGAAAGCGCTGATATTTTCTACCGCAACACCTGAGAACCAGAAGAAGAAGCAGCCATGTGACCTGGATGGAGGACTTACTACTTGTGTCTTTCTTTTGGCTGGTTGGCGTCGTGGCCCAGTTGACCTTGACCTCCTGCAGGACAGACAGTCGAGAGCGGAAGGAAGAGGTGAGAAGTGGAGCGGGCTCGCCGACGGGAGGCAGGTGCTTTCTCTTTGATTTGAGGTTTTGGTCACACACCAGTTTACTTTTATATCTTGCGATTGAGAATTGGTTTTCATAAGGTGGTCTCTGCAGGCCATACGTGGGTTCTTACACCACCACTACAAATGTATTCATCCATTGCTATCATCTCATGTTACATACCTTTGCATTAGTTAATAAAGAAAGTTCAAACACAGTGGAGAATAAAAAGGGATATCAAGATTTCACCTTCATAATCAGGAACATTTCAGTCTCAGTCAAGTAAAAATTTGGAGCAAAACTGTAGGAAGTAAGGTCCAAATAACAAGGGACTTACAAACAAGTGATTTTTACGAACTTGTTATACTCCTCAAATGGTCCTTCAATACCTGTTGAGAATAAAATATTTTCAACTGAATGTATTTCTCTTGAAGTTGCTCTTACGTGGATTCTACGTGGAAATAACTTTGCAAAAGAACACATAGCAGTAAAGACGTGAGGGGACAGAAGAGCATCAATTCAAGTAGATCAAAGACATGTAGCACGGTTACGCAGCAGGGCCACGATCAATCAATCAAACAACCCCATGGCAAACTCACGCCCTTTAAAACAGACAACGGTGCATTATGGGACACGAAGTATTTCAAACAGCACGTTGTTCGCAGCTGTGTTTACACACAATGTACGTCGCCAGTTTATTGGGTATTATTGTCGCGACATATAATGCTAAGATCCTGCCTATGAGATGTAGTCAAGGATTTCATTGGGAAATTAGTCAAAAGTCAAGTTTATTTAAAAGATTAATGTGTAAAAAGGTATGATGTAGCAGTTTATATATGCATAGATTCTGTGCCTGCTCAGAGTCTCAATTAAAACCAAAAAATGTAACAAATGTTTCTATTAAGAGGAATAGGAATGTGACTTTCTTGAAGCAACTGTGAGGGAGATGGCGGAAAAGGGAATAATAAACAATAATCTAGTTTTATTTTAAACTGAATCCATCATGGCTTCTGAATATTGAATCCAATCACTTTATTAGACATCTACGGCTTTGGGTTAATACCACAAGAAAAGGCAAGAAACCATTAAAAAAAAAACTAAAAACGAAAGCTCCCCTTGTCGAGGACGAGGACGTTTTTCTGAATTAAAAGCAGAGAAATTCCGTCTGCTGTTTCCACCGCAGCCATTTCAGATTGTGCTCAGAAGAATAATGTGGGCCCGCGACTAAAAACCAATGACGTGAGGAGGAGCAGAAACAACGAAGTGAGATTAAAATCTAAAAAGATACATCTTTTTTCCAGTTGCTTCATTTCAACCATGCGCCTCAGTCGACTCACCCAGGAGATATGATAGCTTACCTTACCCAGTATTTTCCGACCGTTCATGGCCGCGATTGTGGCAGTGGCATGTCTATACTCATAGAACTCCACAAAGCAGTACGGATCATGACCCGCCGTCTGGAGTGGACAAGAAACACAACCATCAAACACCATCAATTAACTCAAAATGTTCATTAAAATCCTCCCGTTGGTTTCTAATAAATGTACGTATTTGTTTGTTGCAGCAGATTTCTCTGTGGCTTTTATAGTCCAGTGTTAGTGAATATGACGACATCATTTAGGATTAGAGAGGTCAGAACAAGGCTAAACAATGAGGCTTGGCTCCTTGCTTTGGGTGTGGGGGGTAGTAGAGTGCCACGGAGGGACTTAATCTAACAACTGAAACGCAGGATTAATATAATTAATTTGAATAAAGCTCAAACAAAACAATTATTTGATAACTGCGTATGAATAAAGTCATGGTTGAAGGGGTAAGAGCAGAGTAAACTCACATCTACTATCATTTTACAGCTCTTGCAGGGTCCAATCTGGCCAAACAACTCCAAGATGAGGGCCTCTGTCACGTCCCGGGACAGGTTCCCCACGTACCTGCAACGGACAGAAGACAGATGTAACGTGGTGTACGGTGATGGTAACCGTAACCTGCTCACAGCTTTTGAACTGTTGTTATACACCAGAAAATAAATAGCTCTGATCAATGTTGTTGAGCTTTCTAAATTTTTCTTTTTCAAGGTTAATATATTTTGAATCCAGATTCCCTGGAGACGGACGTTTGTCTCAAAAAAAACAAAACCAACAACAACAAAAAAAAACAGAATCTGCCAGCTGTGCATTTCCAGAAAATCCAAGATCAAGACTGTTTATGAAGAATGATTCAACTGTATTTAATGATAATAATAAAAACAGAGTGCAACTAGGGATCGTTAACCCCATTAAAATATCTGCCCCCTGACCTCGTCTTACAACACCGCTGTCTTTAAATACATGTAAGATCATCTTACCCAGGAGAAAAGGGTAAATAACCGTTTGAGAACAACATCATCATCATCATAGTTGTTGGGACATTTGCAAATATTCAACGGGGTCGCTGGTACCAGAAATACCCGTTCACATGATTCGATCCGAGGCCTGTGCATTGATGATTCTATAGGCCGACGTAATGGAGGTGACGGCGCACCAAACTCCGCACAAAAAAACAAGCCGGCTCAGTGTTCTCCTGCTCATCGTCAGAATCGCCGGCAGCCCACAGCAGCCCTTCACACGTGGCTAATCCGCGCGAGTCGGCCTTTAATTCGGCACACATCGGCCCGCGATTATTTCAATTTAAATTATATTTTCCTCCGCGAGCCAGTGTCAACCGACGCTTTAATTTGAGCTATTTCTGGAATTAGACAACGTTGGCTAGCAGTGACGAGTGAGGCCAATTCACCAGACCTCATCTCATTACGATGCGTCCGGGTACCATCGAGATTATCAGGTTAAAATACCTAATAACAACAGTTATGTTCATAATTGGGTTAAATGTCCACATATCAGCGGATAACAGGCTGCATCTGAGTGCTAGCTTAGCCACGTAACGGCTAGGAGCGGTTAGCTAGCGGTTACGCAGACGCACACACACACTTACAGGGTTTTGGGCTGGTCATCGTCCATTCTGTTTAACTTGCTGACCGAGAACAAGTCGCAACCCTGAGAGAAAGTCCACGACTGTCGCGGGCAGCTGCCTGTAACACCGTCAAGTTATTGCGCAGTATGAAGGGACTAACCGCCGCTGAGTGAACAATGGGGCAGCCGAGAAAGATGGCGGAGCGACGGCGGCCGAGGCGAAACGCGCATGCGCGTGGATTCAGCCAGAGGCAACATCACGTTACGAAATGCTGCCGTTTCCCTCCGTGTGTTTACCCCCAAATAATGCATTTTAATGTTTACCATAAAGTATATTATCGTTGTATTATCCACTGTTATTTTCTTTTCCTTAGCTCTGTACCGTGTGTCATCATGCCATTTCATCTTGGTTAAGAATATTAAAGACAGAAAGATAAAAACACACGGTACAGTAGTTACTTTCCTTCACCCTCTAAATGCTTTTAACCAGATGCCAGATATCATGCAGTTCTACAGCTGTACATATGTAGCTCATATAAAAGTATTATATTTATCATTATATGTGGATAAACTCTAAAGATGGGGCTCACTTCAAGGACTCAATAAAAAACAATACATACAATGCAATTATTTCAACATTTCTGGAATTTATGTTTGGAAGATAAATCAAATGTTTTAAATGTATTATGTGCTGCCTCGTGTGTCAATTAACTTCTTCCAAAGAACATAACCTTTAATTTATCTTTACAGGTGGTGACTTGTAAACCTCTATACTTTGATCCGCAAACACATGACTTGGAAAAGTGTCCTTAAGCGCATGAATCATACTTACATCTAAAACGCACTTTACCCGCCAGATTTACAATTAATACGTTTGAGTCATTACATTACTTTCTCAGAAATAACTCAATAAATTTAGTATTCAGCAGTCCCAAAAGGCAAATATGAGACCTTGAATAAAATTAGAACATGTCTATTTTATTGTATAATTATATTATACACAAACATTATTTGTGTAATATTTTATTTTTAGAAATACATGTAAAATATCTTAAAAACATCACAGCTAAATTGATTTATTGGAAAGAGCTCACAGGCGTAGGAAACAATTGTCAATTTGCCCTTTCTCTCGTGCTGTAATGTTTTTGTGTAGTTTATTGAGTCATTTCAAATTTTCACACCCATGTGAATGAAGTGACCCCTTCCAGATGTGTAAAGTCAATCCAAACAGAACCATCACAGCATTGATAAAACCCAATGAAAATAACGTTTTTTGTTTTTAAAACAGTGAAAACTGATTTATTGTCACACCATGACATTTAAAACAACGCAACTCAAAAATGTACTTAGATCATTTTCTAAGGACAAATATATAAATTAAATTTACCAGATATGATCTAACCCCCCCAAAAAAAAAGGTTCCAGTGGTTTCCGAGTTTGTGTGCCCTGGTGATACAGTCCTGCTCGGATGAGTCCCTCCCCCCCCCTCGCTGCCTCATCTCGGGCAGACGTTGTGGTCGGTGACCAGCTTCTCCATCCTCTTTATCTTGCGTTTGTTCTTGGGCATGGGCTTGTCGTACATGCCGTTCTTCAGCAGGTGCTCCTTGCTGTGGTGGACCTGGGCGCCGTGCTGCAGCTGGAAGGAGCAGAGGGCTTTCAGGGGCCTCAGCAGGACCTGGACACACAGAGGGAGACGAGCACAGGAGTATGAACACAATACATCGATTATTTACACATCAACCTTGAAGCCAGTGAAAATAAGGACTGTCTATGGACTGTATATATTTGGCTCAACAGTGAGCCTCATCTTCAAACTTTACGTTCCTGTTTAGGTTCAGTCTATCTGCTCACATCAGACATCCAGACAGTGGCCGACGCTTTCAACTAGCTGCTGAACACAGTAGCGCATTTAGCTGCTTAAAAGCTAGATACTATTCTGAGGAGTTGGTGGAGACCAAAACAGAGTGAAAAATTGGATTTACATTCATCGGGTGGACACATTGACATTTGTAATGAATGCTTATGTTGCTCCTAACAACTTCACCAAAACACATTGATGATACAAATATGTCAGGGATGTGTTAACAGATTGTTTCTGCTTCGGTGTCCTTTTTTAAAATTTAGAGCAAAAAGCCCTTAATGCATTGCCCCACGTCACCTCCTGGATGTGGTCGTTGTGCTCCAGGATGGATAAAGCCACGGCGGCGCATTCCAGCGTGGACAGACAGATGTTGGAGGGCTGTGTGCGGATCACGTACTGACTGGAAAGATTCCTGTTGAGCTGCACCTGGGAAGCAGAAGCACAAAGCGCGGTTTTGATACTAGAGTTTCAGTAATAACCTCTAGATAGTGGTTTTCGTTGTTGTGGAGGCCATGACCGTGCTCGTTTCATATTGCCTTCACACATGAAGCAAAGGAAGTAATTAATCCAGCTGCACTGTTTGAAATTATATCCAATCAGCCTCACGGTTCAGTTGAATCAAGTGACTGCGGATACATAACAAACGCCTCCTGCTGCTTCGCATTAAAGGCGTTCAATGTGACACCAACAGAGTATACTGCACAGTGCTCAGTCCTAACAAATCCCTATGTGTCGATTATAAACGGGAGGGAAAAGAGAAAAGGCTGAACAACTGCCCACGTTTGAGAAACTTTTTCATTTTGCTCAGTTCCAAATGGGACGATTAGTGTGGGTGAAGCAGATCTCCCACCAGTGGGTGTCGTGGGAGAATGTAAAATGTCTCTGGTGGACAAGGCTCTCTTCTCCCTTCAATGAATACGAATATACAATCCTGCGTGGAACACCTGCACTCGGCCTCATAGTTGGAAGAAAAAAGGTTCTCCCTTTTCCCTTGAGACCCAACCCCATCCTCTTTAAAGTGACATCGCGGTTATACGCACCTGTTTGGGCAGGTGGAACAGGCTGTTTTTGAGGAACATGTTCTTGGCCTGGCTCCAGGTGCCGTCTATGATGATCACATTATGCTTGGCCGTTCCCACCTCCTGGTACTGCACCAACTCCTCCAGGCTCTGGGACGAGGGACCCGGGTACAGGATCAGCGTCCTGCTGTCCCGACACACCGCTGCCAGCTCCGGGTGCCTGCGAGACAAAAAACGAACGTATTAGAGAAATCCGTGGTGTGAAACCAGAGGGCTTGCATGAACTACAGCTTACTTTTCCTCATTGAATCTCCTTCCCACTATGACGTTGCATTTCCCTTGTGGCAGACAAGCGGCGAGCAGCGGCACTGTGCGGAGAACCCGGCTCTCCTGGAAGCACAGCGGAGGTTAGAATGGAGGTAACCACGAGCTCCTGGTAAAGATGTTTGCGTTTTACTTTGGGTTGGATTAAAGTACCGGCACACCCAACGCCTGTCATAGATCTAAGAATGGAATAATAATCTTGTCTGTGTGTAACATAATAAACTAAGTTCATGTGGATTCTTTGTTTATTTATAAATATTTTGTCTTATTATTTTATCTTATAAAAAGAAAGGGTGCAAGCATAAGTTCTTATAGGGTATGCGATCTCTGTCCCAACAGGAACAATGACTGCAGATTACCTGATTTTTTCCTTAAAACTGATCCGACCAAAGTCAAGTCAGCAGGCTGCGGTCTCTGGCGTGCATGTGTCACCTGTGACATGTGACAACTCACCTCCGCGGGATGCTGCACCACGTACAGACACGTGGAGACCTCCAGGGGTTGTGTTGGCAGAAAAGGACAGAGACACACCTTCTGAGGGCGACTACATGGGAGGAAAGTTGAAGACGTGAAGCTGTGATCGCCCCGTTACTTCCCAGCCTGTAGCCCCCAGTATCAGCTGATCTCGGGCTTTCGCGTAACGACATTGAATATATTCCCTCATTTAAGCATGCCAGTTACTCGAGGAAGAGGAGGAGGAGGAGGCGAGGGGAGCGGGAGAAGGGTTTCTTCCCCGCCATCCTGGTCCAATCACACTAACTTGTTAGCTAGCTAGCTAACTAGCATTAGCTTCACTTGAATTCAGCTCACCGGCACCGTAAACACGTCGGTCTTCTCTCGCCGACCTCGACCGGGAGAGCAGCCAGGTCGCCGAACGCGTCCACTAGTTCGTCGTCCGCCGACGAGCTGTCGCCGTTGGCTTCTCCGTTTTCTTCCGAAGAAATTGACGGGCAAAAGCCGGAGACACGGTCCATTGTGGAGTTAGCAGAAAGCTAACTGGTCCACTCAAAACACGGCGCCGAGGAAGACGTGTAGCATAGAAATACACCGAGTAGAAACACTGCTAATTAGATAACGTTAAATAAAAATAAATATTCCTAACCAGGCCTGGGGAGCGTGACTCTTTTGTCTAACTTGTATCTGCTGTATTTCTAAAGGGTTACTACAGTCACCCCCAACGAAACGTTAATTAACAACGCTAACGTAGCAGCTGATGCTACATGCATTCGATGAGTTAACGGTATGTTGTGCTAGCTTGCTAGCCATAAATGTCAGTTAGCTTTCAAATCGGGCACACGAAAAATCTAAAAGTTGTCGAATGTACATTTAAATTATTAAATTGTTGACACTTGGATTAAAAAGCACATTTTCGTTGGGGAAATATGTGTTTATAACATATTCTATTTAGCATATCGTGTCTATCTACTGTAACTCTATGCCACTGATGATAAACTATCAACTCACAGCTGCCGCCTGTCGATGGATCGATCGTGGAGGACAAAAAGGTGCTAAAACAGGGAAACGCTCAGATGTAACACTGGGTTTGGCGTATTTAAACTGATGAGAATGTCCTCAAAGCCTTTTAATACGCCCATCGAGCTGACAGAACAAAGATAATAATCTTGGACTGCACATTTGCTTCAGTTTATATCTAATTGTTGCTCATCAATGTAGGTATTTATGGATATGTGGGAGTTTCCTATTCAAGGTCAGCAAGCACTTCAGGGACCACTGCTGAGCTTCATATGGGTTCCATAGTTGTAGTTTAGGAATATGCACATGTTTGCACGTATCACTCGTGTCTTTTGGTATTTCATAACTGTTTACAAGAGAGTCTATTAGACTGCCAGTTGAGACGAGGTGTCAGGTTAACAGCCAGGGAGGCTTATTAATAGCTGAAGATCCACACTGACGACACACACACTCTCTCACGTCTCACCCTTTTTTATTCACACCCGTGACCCAAACTTTTCCCTTCAAAACACGAGCACACAAGCTATGATTCATGCGCCAGTCCTTCAAACCGCAGAGACTGGATATACAACCCCAAACAAGAAGTGATCCTCCTCTTCTGGATATTTGATCACTGACAGAGTAACGTGTGAGAACAGCCAGGTGCAAAGTGGTCACCAAAAAATTACCCATTAGGACCGTAGGTGTTAAAGTGTAAATAATTTTCCCTCGGTGGATTATAGGATACTGGGATTTAAAAAAAACTCAAACGATGACCCATCAGCAAGGCCCTTGACATTAAACCGGTTGAATCTCACCTAAAGTATTACACACTGTCCTTTGTCTTTTGCTGGCTCAGCTGAACCGTCGCCTCGTTTCTCCGGATGAACCAATTCCGTCGACTTAACATCTACTTCTTCCGGTTCGGTTTGTCTCTGAGCCGCTTCCCTCTCACTTGCTCCCATTGCCTCCAACATTCCCGAGTCCCTCTCCTGAGCTCCAGCCGGGTTTGTGTCCCGGACGCCTTCCACGCCTTCAGTTTGCGGGGTCTCCATCGCGTCCAGTGCGTTTTGAAGCAGGGCGGCGTTGGCGATGTCCTGCATCACTTCCTCTCCGTCGGCGGCCTCTGCCGGCGATGCCGTCTCTTTCTCCTCCACCCTGTGCTCCTTTCCACCAGCCTCTTCCTGCAGGATAACGTCAACGGGGGTCAAAGGTGTGAGGTCCAGACACGCCTTGGGAGAGGGCGTGACCTTTCTCCTCGGAGGTGCAACTGGCTTCGCCGTTTCCGAATCTGGCTCCCGCACTTCCTCAAGTGTGCCGACCTCTTTCTCGTCCGGAGCCGCGTGGTGTTCATCTGCGCTCCCCCAGTCGGGTTCCTCCGGGAGAAGCTCGAAGCTTGAGACGGCGAGTGGATCCGCCGGGATTTTAGCCACGTTTTCCAACACGACGGAGACCCTTTTTTTCATGTTTGCAGTTGTTTGGGGTTCGTCCTCTTCGAGAGATCGAGGGAAAGGCTCCACATCCAAGGGAGAAGCGTTGGCACTGGTCCTGAAGAAGTCCGTGATTTCCTCCTCGGAATTTGGCATCTCACCGTCTTCAGGCGGGGAGAGCAAATCGCCAAAGTCGTACAAATCTTGGGCCAGTACCCGAGGACCTTCCTCCGGAGATTTGTCCTGGTCAGGCGGCTCCGCTTCCAGCGCAGGAGTCTCGTCCATGAGGACATACTTCTCTAAATATCCTCGGGCCTCCCGGTCAGAATGCCTGCTGTGGAAGGACTTCTCCGACGTCACGCTTTCCGTGTCCTCTTCTTTCTTGCGACTGCCGACCGCCTCCTCGTACAGGTCGGTGTAGAGGAAAGCCATGGCTTTGGGCTCCTCCAGCAAGATCTGGTCGATGATCTTGGGAGGTCCGTCCGGCAGGAAGATCGGAGTCAGTACGTCTTCTTGGCTTCCGAACAAAGTGGAGCCGCTGGGCTTTGAGGGGAACCTCGAAGGCGCGCCGTGTCCGTCGTCTTTGTCCTGAGGTTCCATGGAGAAACTGCCCGTACCGCCGTAGAAGACCTCATCCAGAAGCTCGCTGGTGATTTCCGCCAGACTCATTGTGTCCGACATGTCATCATCCACGGTTGTTGCTGTTGTTGTTGGGGCGTTGTTGTCTCCTTCAGGTCGCGAATGACTCAAGGCATCCCGGACCTCGGAGACGACCTCCTCTCCTAGCTCCACCTGTGCGGCGGCCACAGCGGGACTCCCCGGCGCCTGGGCGTCAATCAGGGCAAACGCCTCGAAGTAGTCCACGTTGCCGGCGGCTCCTCCGGGCCTGGTCACTGGAGCGCCCGGTGGATCCGTTGCGTTTGTGCCCGCGACGGAAGAGGAGAACTCCACCGGATCCCCTCCCGCCGCACCGGATCCCGCGAACACCGGATCGCTGTCGTGACCCTCCCCGACGCCTTTGTGAACAACACTCTCCTCCAGATAAGAAAGGTTGTCCGCCATTTCTTTGCTCTCCTCCTCGTCCACGGACGCCAGTTTTGGGGGAACGACGATGTTGAGGATTTCAGAGCCCTCGGAGACCAGGCAGAAGAGCCGCTGCTCTTTGTCCACCAGGGGATCGGAGGCCTCCTCTTTGTCCCCGTCCTCGGGCTTCACGTTCGGCCGCGACACTTCGACTAACTCCGGCCTCCCAGAGACGCTCTCGGAGCTTTCCCCGAGGAGCCCTATCTGTCCCGCTGCTTTGCTCTTCCGGTCGGCCCCCTCTTTGCTTTTCTTCCGTCTCGAAAGCAGCTCCTCGTCCATGACGAAGATGATCTTCCCCGCCGGCGCTGACCCCGGCGCGGCGGAGCCGGGGTCCGCGCCGTAGGTTCCGGCCTCGGACGCCCACGGCGTGGCGCAGCGGCCGGGGGTCGTCTCCCAGGCGATCCCGCTGTCCTCGCCTTGCATCGCCACCATGGAGAAGGAGGAGTCCATCATCAGGCACTGCATCTTGGGTCGGACGTTGTCGTCGTGGACGACCTTGCGTAAGCTGAAGGCAGGAAACAACGGCGTGAAAGTGACTGGTCCAAAAAACGTTTTCAGTCAAATCGATTGAAAGTAGCTTTAATTATTCTTTATTTAGGTCAAGTCCTAAAGCCGCCTGAAGCATATTTGTGAATTCTGAAGTGAGGATGTTCTTATATTTAGCATGCACAGGCTGCCAGTGGTAATCAGTGTCACAATGTAAAGCTGATGCAACGAATCCTCCACTTTTCTCATTTTTTCAAACTATTTTGCATGTTGATTCGTGTTAATGACCATTTTGGAGATTCTGTTGAACTGTATTTGATTTCGCTGACTGATTCAACGAAAACCTCCAAAACGAACATAAAGTTGTCTCTAAAATAGAAACCGGTGAAAGGGGGTTGCTGGTCTCTACCTGTTTCTGAGGGTCTCCACTTCATCGCCGGCCTCGAGGTCTTGTCCGAGGAGTTCTTCAGGCGTCATGGCCCTCATTTCGGAGTCCACGTCCACCCGCGACGCATCTTCTGCCGCGGCGTCCATTGTTATGCCACCTCGATGAGCCTGCTCTCACTCCTTCTCACCGCGACGCAGCGCTGCTCTGTGGATCCCATTCGGAGCCCGGCGTCTTCCAGCTGAGTCTTCGTGCTCAGCGTAATCTTGAAATAGAAACCAGCTCCTCCAGTGTTTCAACCCGAAGCATTTGCAGCATGCAGGGAGGTCCATTTGTCACCGGTTGGCTCCGGCTGAGCCTTTTCCTTTGACATGTACAATAAACAGGTTAATTAGTCAATTAGTTGTTGCTTGGGATCAATCAGAACGACAAAAATGCATCAGCATGCACTTGTGTTTTTTTAGCCAGGTCTAAATCTGTTCTGCTGCTGGTCTGTATCAAATGTCACTGTGTCTCTTACGTCTGTAATACGCAGATCAGTGTTTACTTGTTTGTGGTTTTCACGGGATTAAATCACTCAAATTCAAGGGTATGAGAGCGAGGAGAAGAAAGTAGACAAATATACAGATACATATACATTTATACCACGATTAACCTAATAATACACATGTATGGGCTAATGTGCAGTTTTGTGCATTTGTATTTAAAAATCTGCTTTCTGTGACACCACACAACGCAAATGTCAATCTCGCACCTGTTTGCGTCTGTCTTCAAGTGTGGCGGGAAAGGTTTCACTTAAAGTCAACATGTCGTATCCGGGTAAAAGTTGTCCTCATATTTAACGGGTCTGGCACACTTTCAGTAGTTCAAAAAGCTTAAAGGATATGCTGGTATTAAATGTGAACTTTCTTCAAACAATGTTTGAGCACATTCAGCCCATGTGGATTACACGCAAGTAGCATCAACCAATCATTCAAGTACATCACAGTTAAGCACCTATTGGCATCTGCTTATCACTCTGACTACTTCAACCGCCAGAGCAACGTTAAGCACGTGTATCACTAACACGTGGTTTGATTATCAATAAAGCAATCGATCAATAAATCGGGACATAGAAGTGGAAAGAGTGACGTGTTCTTCTCTGCAGCCTATATCAACAACTGATGCCAAACAGCAGATCACGTGTTTCTGTGTCCTAACTGTGTGTTTATATATAGTCTCACTTTATTGTAAATAGAATATTATATTGTGAGTTGTATTGTTGTCCTTTGGCTGTTTGGGATGTTTTTTCTCACTGATTTCTCTTATGGGCCGAATGAGATTTATAACAAAATGAATGCAGGGCTGATGTTTACTACACATCTGTGGACTTTACACAACTTTTCTTTTTGTTTTGTATTTTCTTACAAAACGACCATCTGCGATGCTTGTTTAGACAACCGCGTTAAATCCGCACCGGCGCACATTTTGGACCCGTTTATCCCGCCGGATGTTTTCGTTCCCACAGGTGACGTAATGACGTCGTCGTTTTAACGCTCCCCGGCGGAGGACGTTAAACGAACGAGATGCGGCCCGGCGACGAGAGACCAGACGGGCGGATGGAGAGAGGATGAAGCGGCCGACGGAGCAACGGGATCACACATTAAATCCCAGTTTAACGCTCGGCTCGAATTGCGTGAACAAATCCGGCGAATAATAAGACAATAAGTGCATTAAACGCGCCGCCGCGTGAGTGCGGTTCACGCCTCGGTCGATCGGAGCGGCGGAGCTTATCCCCCCCCCCGGGGAGGATGCGGCCGCTGAACCCCGCACTGAGCGCCGGGCGGTCTCGGTCTTTTCCACCAAACCAGCGGAGATGAAGCGCTCCCGTGACGGAAGACGGCCGCCATCGCACAGACGCGAAAAACGCCTCCGACGCCAAACTCGGTACAGGGGAATTTAATTCAATGGCACAGCGGACCGCGAGGAAGAGCCAGCGGCTGGGAGCGGGATTATCGAGCAGCCGGGGGTACGGTGGGTTTTTCGGCTGAGGGGGAGAAAAAAAAATCACATTTTACACGCACCGGTTTGTGGGATTTCTCGGTTTTAACGTTCCTCATTTCACACAGTGGAGCCCGCTAACGTGACGGCTCACGTCGCGCTGTTCGGGCGGCTTTTCCCTCCCCGTTCTCCGCCGTCTTTCGACGTGTTTTTGTATTTGTATGTAAAGCGGTTCCTTTTTATTTGGCCGTAAATCACAGAACCGTCTGTTCTGTTCTGAGTTCTGCGCCGCGCCGTTAATCCCCCGTTTGTGAAGGAGTTTGATTTAAGCTAACGGCTGCAGCTAGCGGCTAGCTTCTCCTCCTCCTCCTCCTCCTCCTCCTCCTCCTCCTTCATCATGCTCGCACAGACACGTCTGTCCGGGTGAAACCGCCAAGCCGAAAGAATGCACCCAAGGGCATAACGACGACAACAACAACAACGAAGACAACAACGAAGACACCGCCCGATGTCCGCACTGAGAACGACACCGTGGCTCCGCCGGCCGTGAAGCCACAACTACCGGAGCGGCCGTAGCGGGACCCCCGGGGGGGGAGAGAGAGAGAGTGTGAGAGAGAGGGGGGACCAGGAGCCCGAAGCTAGCCTCTCCAGCCCCGCCCGCCCGCCGAGAGGATCGGGTTCTACTCCACCGAAGGCACCGGAACCTCCCGCTGAAATGGGGTACGTGGGGCCGCTCTGCGCTTCGTGTAACCTGAGGTTCCCAGAAGGAACCCGAACAGCTGTTAGCTTAGCCACCGCGGCTAACCGCGCCGTCGCCTCGCGGCAGGTGCGAAAGAATTGGCTTGTCCCCGTCGGAGACTGTCCCAGAGATGCGAGGACATAAGGAACACACACACACACACACTATATGTACTCACTGCACACTGACATTTTAGATTAGTGAAGATTATGCTGCAATGAAACGGGCCACTGTTGCACAAAGTATCAGAGCCAGTTGCTTGATTTGTTTCGTGGTGGAAAGAATGCCGGAAAATGACATGTGTGTTCCGTAGGGAAATGCAGCTGGGGAGAAGGACACTGCTTTCATGTATTGCAGCCAAAGCTATTTGAATTCCCCCAGCAGACAGCGCTGATGTCCCCCGTGTCCCCCTGCACTTGTCTCGGGTGGATGCGTGGAGATTCTCCTGGTCGGGAGCGACCTAGTTCTCTGATGAAAGCAGGCGATGTAGCCTGTGATTGGTTTGGTGTCATATTGTGGGGGTGGGGGAGAACATCCTCTGTAATTCTCAAGGCCAATGGTCCTAATCCACCCCCAACAATCAATTCCTCACACACACACACACACACAGCATGAGCACAGTTACCCCCGTGATATTATCAATACTAATGAACAGCCCTGATCGATCCAACGTGAACTGGAGCTTCTGTTCTTTTACAGCGACGTAAACACGCCGCCCTCCTCAAACGTGGCACTTCTAAAAATAAACCGTGCACAGGAAATATTTCCTACTTAACCAGTGAGGCCAGTAATTCAAGTTGCTCCCGGCTTGTCTTTAAGTCTCCGTGAAAGACGCTTTTCTTTGTTGTCCAGCAGGGTTTGTCGGGGTGACACGGTGGGATCTGGCAACGCGTGATGAGCTTTTCTTTGTGGCCGTTTGCCGACTTTCCCTTTTTCCTTCACTTCCTTTTATTCGTCGTCCTCATCTGGAGGTCGAGGGGAAGTAATCGGAAAGGAAACTTAGAAAAACCAACGTGGCGTGGCGTGGAAAGGGGAGGGCGAGCGAGTCTGCGTGTCTGCAGCTCGTGACCGGCCCCGAGTCGCATGGCCGTTTCCACGACGACGGCGACGCGGCTTCGTAGTTCATAATGCGCTATTTTCCCTTCAACCGGTGTCTGATGGGCGAGGGATGAATGTTCACTGTTTTATGACGTGAATTATTACGGCCTTGGATTTGTATTCGTAAGAGGAGCACTTTAAAAAGATTGAAACTATTTATCTATAGAATTTGGACTCCGTTAACAGTTTTGACAGTTAACTTTTTTTTTGACATTTAATGTCATAATTAGCACTGAAACGCGAGTTGTATGACTGATTTATTTTCTTAATCCGTGCTTCCGTAGAGTCCTATTTTAAACGATGGGACTCTTGATTAATAAGGACTCAGGATTCACAGGAAAATGCGTAATAAATGGGGATAATGTGGCTAATCCCTCCAGTGAGACTTGCTCCGAGGACAAACGTGGCATTAACGCGTCTCCGTGTCCCCGGCGCGTGATTTGCAACAGTCCTGATTAACAACACGCTGCAGAGACATAATCTCAACACGTTCACTTTTTTGTGGACACTCTGCGTGTTTTGTTCCCGCGGGATCGAGCTCGCCGGCGTCTGTGTGCGTCTTCTGTTCTCAGCGAATCGCTGATCTGATTGAATCGGCGGTCGGATTCCTCAGAACGTTCACTGCGGGGAGGGATTATGGACCAACAATCGCCTCTCACACACACACACACACACTACGGACAGCTTTTGATCTGGGCCTCGCTGTCACACTAATGAATGAAATATAAAATGAACCGCTGAAAATGGGGCGTAAACTCTTTAAAAGCGCGAGTAATTGAGACTGAAGTGCAGTCGATTTCAAACCCGTTTGGCCTCCGAGTCATTTTCTCCTTTTCAAAATGATTTTAACGAAGTCAAAACCACAAGCGGTATTTCCTAGTTTGATTTAAAGTTCATTTCCAGTCTGCTGAAGAACGTTCACAGTTTAAATAATATACATTACTTCTTCTTCCGTTTGAGCTGGTGTGAATCCCGCGTCCTCCACTCGTCACCATCGCTCTCATTCTGTTAAACAACGCGAGGCGACTTTGATTAACAGGCTGAACGACGTCTTCGTCCCGGAGGAGACGCGAGACTCTTCTGTCCCTGAGGAGCGAGTCCACTTTAAATGAGGACGTACACGCATGTGGAGGATGTGGATCGTGGACCGTGCGGCGATCGTGTCTTCAGTGGATGAAGCTCCGCTTCAAACGATCACAAGAGGCCGACCCTCTGAACACCGGCCCCCGGTCGGAGCCCCCCGGTCATGTGACGCTGTGCGTTTCCATTAGCAGCAGGATTTACAGTTAGCTTGTAAAGCAACACGAGAGCCCTCGGTGGGAACGCGCCTCTGTTCTCTGCCACGTTCCTGCAGGATAAACATCACTCAGGGCGTCTAAATCTCGCCCTGCTGATTGTTTGCATGACATTATTTTATCAGGCTCACACAGGCTCTGTTTTGGAACATTACTCTTTTTTTTTTTTTAATGACTTCTTTACCCGCCGGCTGCAGAGGATCATTAACTGAGCAGCAGGGTGATCGTGGAATCATTCTCTTTAATTTGTGTTTGGGAACAATCCACATTATGAAGCACAATTTAATAACATTTATTCCTCTTTAACACAGAGTTTGTGTATTATTATCCGCGCTTGTGAAGCCCCCCCGTGCCCCCCGTCCACTTACTGGCAGTGCATCAGCGACACAGCAGGCTGGTGAATTATGGATGTGAGGGGATCCGGGAAGTTGTTTCTCTCACCTTCCTCCTCCGATTCCTCCCGTTCCCCCGCGCTTCGCTTCCTCTGGAGCTTCACCCCGAGCCAACGCGTCCGCGAGGAACGTATTGAAGAATTGGGTCCATACGTTCGTGTTCTCCTCCGGATGAACCCGCCCGACTTTTCATCTCGCGCCGCCACGCGGTTGAAACGTCAGTTCTTCAGGGAAACATCTCCACTGTTTGTGCCCATGAGCTCCTTTTTAAAAGTGTCCATGAAGTTTGTGGTCAGCAGATCCTTCATCTTCATCAAATTCATTTTTTTTTCCGCCGTGAGGTTTCTGTCTAATCGTGAAGTGTGAAGGCGACATGATAAATAAGTCATTTCTACTCCATCGGCTCGCTTGGCCGTAGAATCCTTTTTCTGCAGAGTTGTCGATGTGGCAGCAGTTACGCACAATTAAAGCCCCCCCTGCACCCACCCCCCCCCCCTTCTGTTTCACAGGGAGCAGCCCATCTTCAGCACCCGGGCCCACGTCTTCCAGATCGACCCGAACACCAAGAAGAACTGGGTCCCCACCAGCAAACACGCCGTCACCGTGTCCTACTTCTACGACAACACCAGGAACGTGTATCGAATCATCAGCCTCGACGGAACCAAGGTGTGTGTGCGTGCGTGTGTGTGTGTGCGTGCGTGCGTGCGTGTGTGCGTGCGCGAGAGTTGCGGCTGGAACAAAGTGCGTCTCTTTGTCGTCTCCAGGCCATCATCAACAGCACCATCACCCCCAACATGACCTTCACCAAGACGTCTCAGAAGTTCGGCCAGTGGGCCGACAGCCGGGCCAACACCGTCTACGGCCTCGGCTTCTCGTCCGAGAGCAACCTGGCCAAGGTGAGAGGCTTTGGGCTGCTGCAGGCGCCCCGTTGTTGTTGTTGTTGTTGTCGTCGTGGTGCAGAACTTTCTCCTGCTGTCTCTAGTTTGCAGAAAAGTTTGCAGAGTTCAAGGAGGCCGCACGGCTAGCGAAGGAGAAGTCTCAGGAGAAGATGGAGCTCACCAGCTCTCCGTCTCAGGTGAGAGTCGCCCGTCTGTCAAAAGTTAAAGACGCGTTGAAGGTATATCTTGACTTCTTCTGCTTCTTCATCACTCTGATGGCGAATCGAAGCTCCAGTACTTACGGCCACATTGATTAACATTTCTGAAATGATGTATGAATCTGAAGAGAAGGACGCTGATGTGTTCGTACAGTCGGTGTGTAGCAGCCTGTTAACCAACATACCAGAGATCCAACCAGCTCGCACATCTGGAGCCAGATGTGCTCATGGACCCAAACGGATGCTAACCGCTAATTCTGAGCAGCTCTGGTTTTGCATCCAGAATCCGTGTCAGTTCGATGTTAACGCTTTAGGGTCGTTGGTGAAGTGACCCGACGGCCAAACCAGGAACATGGAAATGAATGTTTGTGATTCTCGACATTAAACGTGACCGTTTGGCTTGTTTGACCTCTGCTCTCCCTAACGGATCCTCAGGGGGGCGCTGTAAAAAGGAATGTGTTGTCAGTCAACAAACCTGGTAAAAAGGTAAAAAAATGGAAAGCATCATTGTCATGACTAACAACCCCCTCCCCCACTCCCCCCCCAACACACAACCTCCGAGCTGCAGCCTCCCAGCAGACAGACTTGAGTGAGCCCAGTGTTCGACTCCTGCGTCTGAATGAAGCCCGTCGTCTTTCACCGCAACCTCGTCTTTGTCAACTTATCCCACGAAACCTCCCGGTTCTGCTTTCGTGCTCTCAGAAACGACGGTCAGCGCCAGTCGGGGTGTTTCAGCAAACCACTAAAGTGAATATGTGAATATTTCTGAGACTCAATTGAGGCCCCAAAAAGCTCGAAGCATCCCGGACTTTGTTTCAGCTGGACTTCCTGTTTGTTTGTTTGTTTGTTTGTGAGAGCACGGAATCATTCACTCTTTAGGGATTTGTCGTGTCTACGTTCAAAGGAAGAGTCGGTGAGGAAATAAGATCTTCTTGCAGAGAGGCATCACTCTCACGCGTGTGTGATAGACGTGTAGCAGCAGCAGCCGCTTAGCTTAGCATAAAGACTGTAACTGGGGGGGAAACCGCTAGCGTGGCTCTTCAAAGGGAAATCCGTCTACCTGCAGCTCAATGACTCGTTGGTTTAATCGGCCAGTCGGTTTGTTCCCTTTGGACAGAGCCAGGCTAGCTGTCTCTATGCTAAGCTAAGCTAACCACGTCGGGGCTTGAAGCCTCATAATTAGAATGCTGACGGCATGAAAACAAATTATTTATTTTTTCCCCAAAACGTTGAACCATTGCTTGTTTATTTCCGGCTAACGTGTATTTTGTTCTGTTTCCCGCTTCGTGCAACCAGGAGTCGGCCCCAGGTGACCTGCTGTCACCTTTGACCCCGGAGAGCATCAACGGCACAGACGACGAGCGGGTCCGACCGGTCACACCTCAGCACGCGGAACCCAGAGCGGAGCCTTCCCAGAATGCACTGCTCTTCTCCCAGAGGTGAGCCACGTTGTCACAGGACGCTGAGCACTCCGTTTGTTCCTCCGTTCATTATTAATCTGGTCCCCCTCCGCACAGCAGAACATTAAAACACTTCCTATTAATTATAAAGCACTCGATGAGTGGACATCGTTTTGTCCTCTTCAGGGACATTAGTGCAGCAGAGAAGCTTAAAGCAGCTTCCCAATGCTGCTCCCGTTGTTCCCTCAAATTTGACTTTACTTTACTTTTGGTTTATTTTAATGCAACCGGCTATTTCCAACAAAACGGCTGTTTTTGTCCCCTTCGCGTCCCCAGTTCCTCCAACATCAACAAGCACTGGGAGGCGGAGCTCGAGGCCCTGAAGGGGAACAACGCCAAGCTGACGGCGGCGCTGCTCGAGTCCACGGCCAACGTCAAGCAGTGGAAGCAGCAGCTGGCGGCCTATCAGGAGGAGGCGGAGCGGCTTCACAAACGGGTACGGCGGCGGGCGGCGAGCGGCGAGCCCGCCGACCATCCGACCGCGCGGTTGACAGAGGCTCGTTGTTTGTGTGTGTGTGTGTGTCCCAGGTGACGGAGCTGGAGTGCGTCAGCGGCCAAACCACAGTGATCAAGTCCCAGAAGACGGAACTCAACCAAACCATCGAGGAGCTGGAGTCGGCCCTGAGGGCCAAGGAGGAGGTACGTGGCCGCCGAGGAGGACCCCCCCCCCCCACCCCTTCCCCCGCCCGTCTCACTCGTCTTCAGTAACGACCTTCTCTCTTCTTCTCGTCCAGGAGCTGGAGAGACTCAAGGCCGAGGTGGAGAGCACAAACGACTTTCGCTCTCAAAAAGACTTCCTGACTCAGAAACTACAGGTGAGCGAAGCCGCTCATTAGCATATTGTTGCTAAGGCCTCGCGTCCGTCTGTTGCTATGAGCAACTCGTCCCCATATGCTTTGTTTGTGAAAAGCAGAAGCGACAAACGTCGCCTGGTTGAGCCGACAGGAGGAATGACGTTAAACGTCACAGTCGTTGTTTCTGTCTTCAGCACACGGAGTCGATGAACCAGGCGCTGGAGGCCCGGCTGAGCGACCTGGAGCGCCGGCTGCAGAGCAACCAGCAGGAGCGGGAGGCGTTCCGCCGGAGCCTCCGTCAGCTGCTGGAGCTGCTGGACGGGAAGCTGTTCGAGCTGACGGAGCTGCGCGACGCGCTGGGCAGGATCGTCGAGAGCAGCTAGAGCGACGAGGGGGTTTGGGTTTTTTTTTTACACATTTATACGTGTAAAAGTTTACACACGACTCAAAAAACGTAAAACGCTACGACACGTTTACAAAGAGAACCGAGTAAAGGCGGCGTTGCTTGGTCCATGCCTTCCCTCCACGCCACTCTGGAAGATTCTTACCAACGCAGCATTTTCTTCTTTCTTTAATGTCGTGGCGTTTGCGGGGACATTTTTGTATTTCTTTGCCCCTCCATCATGGTGCGGACTTCTAGAGGCGCTCGGTTCGTCTTCTTCCGGTCGTCATCAGCCAAAACGAACAGTCAGACTCGAATTCATTTCTACGTCCTCGTGCTCGAGAGCTCAGAAAGAGACAAAAGTTCCTCCCGTGAATGAAATCGACCGAGTGGCCGCCAAAACAACCGGACTAAGAAAGTACCGGTGAGGACTTTTGTCTTATATTCTTATACAATATATGAGCAATACTAAAAAAAAGGGAGCATCAGAGGGTAAATAAACACTTTCCACTCTCACTTTCAGGTACGTTTACTCCTCTCGGATGTGTTCAGACCACAAGCGAGATTTTATTCACTTTCTTTGACACTTTTTTTTTTTTAAAGAATATAAACCAATTCATAGTGCTCTTGAAAAAATGGAGTTTGTGTGAGTGAGTGAATCTTTCTCCTCGTTTCTGTTGCGACTTGAAGTGCAATGATTGACCCCTTTTTTTGTCGTTAATTTATTACTGTTACTGAAGATGAAAGTTGTACACGAGCAAAGATCTTTATTTGCATCTTGTTTTCACTTCATCTTTTTTTAAATGTCTGGTACGTGGGTTGTTGAGGTACTTTTGTTTCGGATAAACTGGCAATATTTTTGAACTATTTATGAGAATATAATGAAGGGAATCGCTGGTTGGATTTGCAGAGAATCTTTTTTTCTTTTGCCAAATAAGGTTTTCATGTGTAGACGAGTCGCTGCTGATGTCTTTGGTGCAGCGACGCACCAATGATGGCTGACGAGCGGAACTTTATTTTTTGTGGGATTTACTGTTGCCAAAAAGTCAATGACGTTCATAGGAATAGTACACACACACACCTGGAGAACACTATTTAAGGGCTTGGTGTTGGTTTGGCTACATTTGGGAGACTTTATCATGTCAAAAATGATGTGTGTGTTTGTATACATACGCAGCTTGAAAGGAAAAAACATTGAATAAAGACTTAAATGTTGATTATACCACATGCTTAAAAACACATTGTAATTTTAAGTTTATAGTAAAAAAACAAATGCAACTTGTGTTGTCTTGTCGTTCTTTCACAATCTGTCATCACTGCACTTTGGTATTAATGTGATATACATGAGGAACCGTAGCAAAGCTACAGTGCAAAAGCACAACCCATCAAAACCGTTGACTCATATTGTGAGGCGAGCGGTTAAAGCTGTTGAATACACACATCGGATGTAAGCATCTGATAAATGTTTATTGAAAGACATGTTGGTGCTTAATTTTATTTTGAAAGGGAAAGAAAAGGATATAGAAAGCGAGGAGGAATGTCATGATAGGAACCAAAAAGAGCAACAAACTCTATAAAGAACATTTACATTTGTATGCTTTTTAAAAATCATTTAAAATATGAAGTTTCAATAAATACTTCAATACATTTAGGCATGCAGATATAATTTGACATTTCATTACAGTATTTAATTCATAAAAATGACTTTTACTTATTGCACTTAAGTTGTGATGGGTTTGTCCTCAAAACCAGTCACATGCATAAGGTCGTGAAAAGGTTAAACTGGTGTCGTGATGCAGATCTCAGTGGATGGAAGAAGCTCAGTTGGAATCACTGCACGTAAAATAAAAGCTCACCGTGACTTTTAACACTTGGCAACAGTTTCTCTATAAATGGCCGCTGTGACTCTTTACGGAGAAGTTTGACATTCTTGGTTAATACACTTTGCTCGACTTGCTGAGAGTTAGAGGACAATATTGACAACGTTCAGAGGTCTGTGCGGCTCATTTGAAAACAATTAGCTTAGCTTAGCATAAAGACAGACGCTGGCGTTGGCTTGGCTCTTTCTGACGTCAACAGTTACTCACATCCGACCGATTCAAGCGGCAACTCCATGCTCACGATGCTAGGCTAAGCTAGCCGTTCCAGTCTTTATGCTAAGCTAACCATCGGCTATATTGTAGCTTCATATTTACCACTCAAACACGTTTTATTTAATCTTCTCCTCAAACTCTCGGCCGGAAATAAGATGATTGAATTTTACAGTCAAACTTATACTTGATGTAAAAAAATGTAACCATGGATCTCAGTGCATTATTTGTTAAACACAGGAGAGTAAATGTGAGTTTCGGTGAAAGAAGTTTGACACAGTGTAATAATAATAATAGACAGGTATAAAAATCATACACACACACACACAAACACACAAACAAATCCAGTAAGTAAATAAAGTTGGAAAGCGACTGAAGGCCGTTCAAAGAGAGAGAGGACTCAATAGCATTAAGAAAATGACAACACAAATAAATAAAATGATCACACGTGATCTGTGACGGTCGTCCCGGGTCTAAACCAGCAGGGGGCGCTGGAGCCTCAGACTTCACTAATCCCTGCAGACAGGCTTCAGTGTGCTGCTGTTTAAAGTATAGTACACACATGAATAGGGGGCATCTTCAACATCTGTGAATGAATGGGTGATTTCATTCATTATTTTTTCCGGTAAATCGTAATTAATCGTTCAAATTTACAAAATAGGGAAAAATGGCGACTTTTTCCAAATGGCTTGTTTTTGTGCAAAGAAACTGTGACACACAGAAAGTGAAGAAAAACAGAGAAAGCAGCAAATCATCACTTTTTAAAAGCTACAACCAGAGAATTATTTGGGTTCCTTTTATTTAAACAAACTAAATAATTGTAGATTTGTTTTCTGCTGAATGTATTCAGCTCTAATTGTAGCATAAAAGCAGTGGAGAGGTTTCTTTGTTTCTGGGTCCAAAATTGTAGTTAAAAGTATCATTGATACAATGGAGGTTTTTATTGTTAATGAGGGAAAAACCATCTTGACATATTAAAATGTTATTACCATCTCAAAGAGGACGTAGTACCAGTCAAACGTTTGGACACTTTCTCATTGAGCTGAATGAGAAAATGTGTCCAAACGTTTGGACTGGTACTGCGTATCTATATATAGATATATATAATTTTGTCAAAATACTGAGCCGGTCAAACCAGCATCCTTTGGATGCAAAGGTCAACAGAAACAACTTCTTTATAAATATTGATCTAATAAAACTACAGGTGGTTGTGAGCTGATATTTCCAGCGTTGGTGTTTCTGAACCAGTGCCGCTTCTAAAACCGGTTTATTTGGATCATATCTCATATCTAACAGTAAAAAGTATGAACCAATACGGTGAAGATCGATGGTCTCGTTACGCTTATTCGCTGAGATTCTGGAATCCTGACAGACAGACGGACAGAATTATCCATCAGCATTTCCTGTTGATTTCAGAACAGACGAGTTTAAGTGGACTCTGATATCCCCTAAAATATTTACGCTCCTATAGATATAGAATTTGATTAGCTAAATACAATCAGAGCCAATATTTTTGCGATCCTTCCCGCCCAGATGATAAAAATAACCTAAAATAGCAACTTGGTAGCAAGTAGATACATTTATTCTTCCTTTTTGCTCCCTAAATATGAAGCTCCGTCTCCCAGAATGTCAAACTATCACTTGGCGGCGGTGGGAAAGACTCGCCTCTGTGCAGTAAAGTGGTTGAATGTGAAAGTGAACAGCACACGTATGGAGGGAAGAGTCTCAAAGTTTGTACGTAAAAAAACAAAACGCTCACTTCCTAAAACAAACCCATCACAGCAAGCTACAGTACGACTCCGACATGTAGGCCGACACGACGAGAGGTCAGAGGTTGTATCCTCGCCAAGAACGCCACGGCAACCACATAACAAAGACCAAAAGGTTAGTGGTCCATCGTCAAACGACACACAGAAGTCTGAATGACAAAGACAAACGAACTTCTCAGCGGATTTCCGAAATATATAAAAAGAAGAAAATAAAAAAAGAATCAAGGTTTCTTTGTTCAAATTGCACCTCAGCGTGATGGAACGCCGCTGGCTGTCTCTTCGTTTTGGCTGCACGTATCCCCAAAAAATGAAAAGAACACCTCCCATCGGGCCGGGCTAGTTCTCCCAGTCGGTGCACGGGAGGCCCTCGTCCTCCGACTCGGACTCGGGCGACGCCTCCTTGATCCTCCTCAGGGCCTCGTGGATGCTGCGGGTCAGCGCGTCGGCCGAGTGCGTGAAGCTCCTGGCGCTGCGCTGCTGCTCCGGCCGGGCGCGCACCTTCTTCAGCCGGACGCCCTGCCGGATCTGGGCCAGGATGTTGTCGCCGTCGTCGTCCGGGTCGGGGGCCAGGACCCGCAGCTCCGCCTTCCTCAGGTGGAAGCAGCCGCGCTTCAGCGACGCCAGCACCTCGTCCATCGGGGAGCTCGCTGCGAAGACGCACAACGCGCCGATTAACGCCCGTCTCACGGCCCAACAAACGTTCAGCAATAATAAGACTTTGTTATGAAATGTTTCGTTGCCGTGGTGACAATCTTGCTTTTTTATACGCTGTACGTCTTTTATTATGACTAAAATAAACGCTTCTATTGAGGACTTTTTGTCATATAGGACCCCCCCCTTCCGTCCCTCCCCGTCCCCCCCTTCCCCCCCTCCTCACTCTCCTCCACTGCGACGAGTCCAGCGACGCCGTCTTCTTCAGCTTCTTCCTCGCCGTCTGCAGCTGACTGCTGTCGAAGAACCGAGGGGAAAACGCAGCCAGGGGCAGGGGGTCGGACTCGCATTGGGGGCGCCGCGCAGGGCGGGGACTGTTCTCCCCGCCCTGCTGCTGGTCCTCCGAGGGGGGAGGTGGAGGAGGCGGCGGAGGTGGTGGCGGTGGGAGAGGAGCAGCGGCACCCAGTGGCGGCGCAGACGGGGAGAGCGGAGGCAGCGAGAGGAAAGGGGGCGAAGAGTCGAGGTCGACCAGCTGAATTGTGGGTAAAGAGACGCCGTCGCAGCGGCAGGCGTCGGACGCCGGTGGGGCGGAGAGCTCCGGGAGGTCGGAGATGCAGTCGGTCTGAACGCCGGCCGAGTGAGTGGCGTGCTGCTGACCGGGCCTCCTCCGGCCGGGAGGCTGACTCAGACGCAGCCGGCTGGACTTCAGAGTCACCTGGCCGGGGTAACACTGAAAGCAAAAGGTCGGCCAAAGGTTAAAAGGTCAAAAGGTGCTCCGCAGGAGGAGCAGAACATCAGAGGAGGACGCAGCTTCTCACCAGCTTGAGGCTGCGGAGTCGGTCCAGAGTCCTCTGCCTCTCCTGACTCACCCTGGCGTTGCTCTTGGCCTCGTCGTCCTCCTCGGCTTCGCCTCCCTTTAAAAAGGAACCACGGTTAGATGAGAAACACCTCCTAGTGTACTTACCTTTCACAATAAAAGCCCTGGATATAGTCAGTATCTGTTTGCCAAGTGGAACTCAATTTGTCACGCAGTCTACGCCATCAAAGTTCATAACGATGCTCACATTCAAACAGAAGTATTTAGTCGTTTTTACAGAAGAGCTCTCAGTCAAAGCTGCTTTCTGTCTCTTTTAAACAACGTGACCTCCTCAGGAAAAAGAAAACTTCACCAACAGACAAATAAAATAAAATAAAATGTCTCCAGTCTTGATCCGCTCAGTGGTAAACTCCCGCAGCATTAAAATACTGTTAAGTTCTAGAATGGATTCTGTATCCAGACAGTAAAAATAATTTAAGTAAAATAAACTTGAAGCACTTAATGTTTGCAAGAGCGCTTTAGTTTTAAAGCCTTTGGCCAGAACTGCCTGTCGGTTTCACCCAAAACCATAAAACCAAACGCGTCGGGGCGGCTCTCACCTGCTGGGGGGACACGTGGCTCCCTCGGCGCTGCTGGATCTTTTGGTTGTGATTGACGATACAGATTTCCTGTTGACGAAAAATCAAAAAGGACGTGAGAGACGCTCTCAAAGCGCCGCGTGGAGACGCTGGACGGGACGTCCTCTCACCTTCTTGTTCTTGAGGTAGACTTTCTTGGCGGTGATGCGGCCCCTGCGGGCCTCCAGCTGCCGCGTCCTCTGCTGCAGGACGCCGAGGTCTTCTCTGAGGGGGGGCGGCGGGGCGGCGGGATCTTCTTCCCCCTTCATGGCGTCGGGGCTCTCGAAGGCGTCGTAGTAGACGACCTCATCCTGGCGCTCTGGTCGGAACAGATTGAACGGAACGCCGTTAGCTGGACCGGCTCCTTCGCTCACACACCTGGAGACATCGCGTGCGTTTGAAGGAGACGGGGTGCTCGGGGACGTCCTCACCCGTCATCTGCCTGCGGAGACTCTGCAGCTGGGCGCTGAGCAGCAGCTCCTCGCAGCGCAGCACCTCCGCCTGGATGTCGTAGAGCTGCAGCTGCAGCTCGTAGTAGCGCTCCTCCAGCTGGTCCACGCGCAGCATGGCGTCCTCGCCGGCCTGCAGACTCTGCATCTACAGGGACGGACGCGCAGGGTTTAATGCACCACAGGACGTTATTCCCTCTGAGCTCATGGTTCCACGTCGCTCAGGCTCCATGCGGTCAAGTTATCTACACATTACCACTTTATAGTAATTCATACTTATAATAAATAATGTTATTCTGACTTTTAAAGAAGCCACGCCTCCTCGTGAGGAGCGCCAGTGGTCTTTACCTCCTCCTTCAGGCCGTGCTTCCTCTGCTCCAGGCAGATCTCCTTGGCCCTCATCAGCTGCAGCGTTTCCTTGGAAACGGCGTACTGCAGCCGCTCCATGCGCTCCACCGCCGCCGCCCACGCCGACTTGCCGAACCTCTTCTGGTCGGCGCGCATCCGCTCGTGCAAAGCTGCAACACGCAGGGCGCCATCGTGAGGAGAGGACACGAGCTGATCAGTCATTTAGCCCAGAGAGACTATTTATTTTGGGTGTTGGACAGAACCAAGAGGTTGAGGAGGTCACCTTTGTATTCAACTGGTTTTTACCATTTTCAAACTGAACCCGGAATCGACTGTCAGAGTAAAATGAATAGATCCATCAAAAGGAAATAATGAGTTAATATACAGCTGAACAGAAATGTGTTCAGGTGTTTCCCAGCAGTCCCACCGAGATGGTTTGAGGATTAAAGTACTTCTGGAGGCTGGAGGACTCGAGCAGGTCCCTTTGGTGACACTGGCACAGCTGGTTTTAAACCCTCCTGACGTCGAGTACCAGCGGCACTTTGTCACAAAGTAAACACACAACACAATAGTTCAAAAGGTCACAGCGAAGACAAACGCCTCTTTGTGAGCGCACCTTTCTGCGCCCGAGTCGTGGTTTCAAAGAACTTGACGGTCAGGTCTTGAATGGAGAGCACGGCGGCGTGAGCCTTCCTCTGCCACTCCTCGTCCTCTTTCCTCAGGCCCTCCACTCGACGGGGACCCAGGCGCTCCGTCTCCAGGGAGATCTGAGGGGGTCAAAGCAGATCAGCATAAATAACAGAGGTCACCAACACACCGAGACACTCTGCAACATGACTCATTTATAGTGACAGTTGTGTTTCCCTCCAATTTCTATTCTATTATTAGTCTTTTGTTTATGGAATATAAAAGCGGGGCTGTGAACAGTGAAATGTGGCCGTGGGTTCAGCAGGTTATCTGTGGACATTCACCTTTCGGCAGAGACGCACCAACGTCACTTTAATAGATTCAGTACATTTACACTGATGTATACATTTGATCCCGGTCTCGTCTGCGCTGAATATACAGCGTATTAAATCAACACTGGATCTGATGATCCCCCAGTTTAAAGCACTGGCTCGGCTCAGCCCACTGAGCACAGAGCTCCGTGTAATACCAGCACACGGCGGCAGATGGCGATGACATCGCTGCCGGCCGTGCACCTTTCTGTTGAGAGCCACACGGACCCGGTGGCCTCCTGGAACAACAAATAAAGAAAAGTAACAAAGCTCTGATAACAGAAACAGAACATCACACGTCAACCGGAGCGCTCGCTTCACCAGGTCAGGCCACGTGGAAAGAGAGAGAGGAGTAGTGCCACGTGGCCGCCCCCCCTCACCCCTCACCCCCCCTCCTCCAATAGAAGACCACACGGTACAAAATGTACAGAAGCAGATTAACTCCCTTTAAAGTCTCATGCGAATGTCTCAATGTAACCCAGATGCGTTTAGGTGCTTAAAAATAAACACCAACAAACCGCAAAGGCCGTGATTTATGTGTGCTAGTATACAGTGTGTGTGTGTGTGTGTGTGTGTGTGTGTGTTTGTCCATGTAATGCTCCACAACAGGGAGCGGTTTTTGGAGTGAAACCGGGAGTGAGAGGGGGGGGGAGAGATTACATCAGAGCAGACGGGAAAAAGAGTCTGAAAGTTTGGGAACGAGTGAGAAACTAAGTCAGTGAGCTCATCGAGCTTCAGACATGTGAACCAGAAGACAGAGACGTTTGTCCTCTGCAGGTGAGCGAGGCAGCAGGACATGTCACACCCGCGGGGACATTTACAAGCATCAGCGCGTTAGAAGCTGGAAGAATTAAAGGAATTAGGGGGAGGGGGGGCAGATACTCCTGGTGTCTGCGGTCTGTCTCCCCATTGTTAATGGGACGGTGTTTGTGGACACAAGAGACGGAGTGATTTCCTTCAACACCTCGAGGTGAGAAGACACACACACACGTGTCAGACTCTCCAAAAATAGCGGCGAGGTCGTTTTCCCGCAGTAAAGAGCCTCGTCTCCTCTGGTGGGAACAGTGTGAGACTCTTGGCAGCTTAACAAAAAGTTAACACGATGGCCGGCAGATTTTCAAGAATATTCTCTCTCATTAAAGTCCAAAACACACAGTGGAGCTTTGTGTGCGTTTCCACCGGTGATGAATGAGCCACAGAGCGACCGTTGTTCTCCCAAAATGATTCCAGCACATGGACGAGCCTCACTGTTCCTCCGAGGGACATTTTCCATCAACACGGACACACGCTGTGGCTTATCTTTGCCTCCATCCCCCATCCGCCGCCCCGCTGCCGGTAATGCTAACAAGCATTAATCCGCCGCCGAAAGTAGTCCCCAACCAACCGTTTTGTCCTGTTTAAGTGACGATTCATAAAAGCTACGGGGTCCAACTTTTGGGATCTTTTTCAGGAATTTAAATACGCAATGTTAGAAGATTTTGACATTTATAGGCAAAAAGAAATGTATAGAAAAACTAGTAAAAAAAACTAAGAGTGTTATGCTTTAAAGACAAGTGGAGGAAGTTAAAAACATGTTTCACCTCCAGTTCTGGTTCATTGAACCTTTGTATTTATTAGACAAACCTCTGCATCGAGTCCGCTTCATCTGCTGTAACTATTGTAGTACGCACTTTGATTTATTTTAACTATTTGATTGGAGCCGGAACAATAATCGTATTTCATCAAAACGTTTTTGGATTAAATCCGGCCAACCATTACCTTACAAGACATTATAAATGTCATTAAAGTTTTGACAGCTGGGCAGGTGCCGCGGCGACCGTCGCCGGGCAACAACTCGGCCGCAACAGTAACTGGAGCCCATTGTGATACAAAAGCATCCCAGACGCGTTACACAGGAGCCACATTTTTAATTCATGGCCGACCTCCAACGCCGCAGGCAACAGGACACCGACACTGCACCACCCAAACGCGCAACACATCCACCCGACAATGCCCCATTCAGCAGAATACACAGCCGTTGCTGTGCAGATCGCTCCACCTGCTCTTTTACGCTGCATTCCAGTGAAGGTGACAATGGAAGAGCGAATAAAAGGGTCATGTTTCACTGTTGATGAGCAGAAAAACCATGTGAGACTATTTTTAGGATTTCAGCTGTATGAGGATTTGCTGCATTTCTTTTATACATGTTAAAACAACAATATGGTCAGAACTTTTCTTATCGAGACATTGTTATAACCCTCCTGACATTTCAGCAAACCCAACGCAAACTAAAGATGAAATAAAATGAGACCGCCTACAATAACATGTCCCACCGGTTTGTGGCCTTTTGAATATCATAATTCTTCACAATTCAGACGCTTGTTAGTAGTGAACCGGATTCACTGTGAACCTCCACAATACGATGAGTAAGGGAGACGTCCTCACACGTGCAGATCGGGTCGGGACGCCCTGCAAGTCCCCAGAACGATTTAACAGGATGCAAACTGTATGTAAATCACAGGGAGAAAAAGCAGAAGCTCTCCAGCATCCAGCCGCCTCCGCCGGCATCAGGCGCTCATTTGCATGCAGCTTTGTTTTCAGCCGTTGGATCGCCCCGAGGGGAGCAGCCGGTGGAGCCGGAAAGCTTTGCCCCCCCCCCCCCCAGAGAGCGCGTCAGAGGGTTGCACACAGTAGGGCTGTGAACTGTGTTTGCAGCAGTTTAGCAAGGCAGTTCTTTAAGAGTTGGGAAACTCATGAGACACCGGACTTACACTACAGTTCCCACAATGCAATGTCAACAATGCTCTTTTTGACTCCCACAGTCTGTCTGTGCCCCGTAATCCTGAGCTCATTCTTTCCAAGTGGCAAATCTCTACAAATATATAGTTTAGTAAAGAAATTAAAAAGGATAAATTATCTATTTAACAGCCGGTTCTGTAGTTTTTAGTAAATGACCCTCTAAAAGAAGGAACGCTCCCTTTATTGGGGCCAATTTGGTCCTCTGGGGAGTAATTGTGGCAGCATGAAAATAAACTACAGTGTGAGTTCAAGGTAGCGAAGGAACACGTCTGCCGGCGCGACATTGAAGCTCATTGATGTGGATTTAATAGCGATGGAGCTGCGCGGCAAACAGGAAGAAGTGGAAACTGATGTTTTGGGAGATTTCATGACGCATGTTGACGAGAACCAGAATGGTGACACCGCGCAGGGCGAGGAATGTCGTTAACAGACGCAGCAGGACACAGGAGCGTCTTCATGGAGAGACAGAGACATGTCAAACAGAGACGGAGACGTGTCAAGCACAACCCGATACTGTAATCATCAACGACGTTGTTTCCCACTGAGATGAGATGTTTTCTTTGCCTTTCTACCGCTAAACTTTTTGTGATGGGATTCCACCTTGGATGGACACCTGAACACAGCGGAGCTCATAAACAGTGAGGGACGGACGCGACGTAACGACAGCGATCTGAAAACAACAGGAAGTGGTTTGGTCCTGACTGAGTCTAGTGAGAAAACACACACACACACAATTTCAGGTCAAGCTGAAGCAAAGGGAGGTACTCATTTCTTAATTATATTCAAAAATAGACTTATGGAGGCAATTGAAGCTCAGATTCATGCTGTGTCAGCATGAAACTGTAACTTCAAATCTGAGCACACAGACGTGAGTGTGTGTGTGTGTGGGGGGAGACTTTCTGAAGACATCATTAAGATGTGAATTGCAAATTAACATCCATAAATCTTCCCAGGAGTTATAGAAAGAAGACAACTTGCCAAATTGAAGCATCCTACTTTGTGTGGGAGCAAAGCGCTGTCTGATGCCTCTCATCGGAGGCGGCACGCTGGTGAATAACGCCGGTAGCAGTGAGTCGTTCCTCAGAGGACAGCAGCTGCTTTTCTATCAGCGGCTCGGCCTTGATGCTGTTCAGTGGAATGCGTTTCATATGTAACAGTTCATTCAAATGTGGGCAACTGAAGAAGTACGAGTGAGTTGTGACGACGTGTTGAATGGAGACAGCTGCGGTGGACCCCCCACCTCTGATGAAGAGAAAAACAACTAAAAGATGCAGCGTGCTGAGGCAGCAGGATCGCCGAGTGGTTTAGTGGCTGCTGTAATAATACTTATGCTGGTTGCTAAGCCGCTCTGGGAGGGGGGGGGGGGCACAAGCCTCTCTGGCTGATCCTCTGCCCTCCGCGCTGCCCCCACACGCAAAGCTACAGAGCGCCTACCACACCATCATCATCACCACCACTACCACATGCATCTTGGGGAATCTGATGTCATTGCAGGGGGGGCTTATGGGGCTTATGGGTCTCCGTGCAGGACGTCTCCGTGCAGGACGTCTCCGTGCAGGACGTCTCCGTGCAGCGGTCCGGGGCTCGTGACCCAGCGGCAGCATCGTAGCTGCTGGGGTACGGTGTCGTAGAGAGGCAGTCAGAGCGCTCGAGGACTGACTAGCTCGCCATGCACAGCTTAAAACAAGCCCCCAAACAGATGGCATTTGTATCCGTGTGCGTGTGCGAGCGTGCGTGTGCATTACCTTAATCTGCTGTCGGCGCAACATCGCCAGCTCCCTCATGTCCCTGAAAGGCTGCAGCAGGTAGTGGTAGAGCTGAGTGGTCGCCTCCAGCAGCTCTCCGTAGGCCTCGTCCTCCTCGGGGTAAACCTGCAGCAGCTCCACCATGCTGTCCGTGGCTTTGTGCTTGTCCAACACCTGGACACAAGCAGGAAACAGGAGGAGGTGAAGCGGGGATCCGCAGCATATTCCACTTCAATGGAGGCGTCATCATTTTTGTTATTGTGGACAAATCCCATAAAATGACCAAAAGCAACAATGCGTTCGTCTGGTCCAAAGTACTTTTGGCTCCGAGTGTTGGCTGCTGGAGAGGAATGTTTTTAAAAAAAGAAAGCACAGCTTAAACCTTGTAAAAAAAAAAAAAAAAAATGGTTGTAAACTGAATATTTTTAGGATCTGGACTGTTGGTCGGACAAAAACAGGAAATTTGAAAACAGAAATTCAGGCTTCACTTTTTTCACATTTCATAACCTAGAAAAAATAAATAAATAATTAATTCTTTGTCAGAGAATGAAAATGTGTCAGCGCTGGTTGTTGTGGGTCCTTTCATGGGCTTTGTTGACAATAAGCCATGCGCAGAAAACACTGATGTCCAACACAGGAGTCCATTTAATAGCTACTGAACCAACCTATAAAAAGGTGAGAAGTCAGTGTTGTCGTGCATGTGTGTGGTCAGTAATGACAGCGCACAGACACGCCCAGGGGGGGGGGGAGCCGGGGGTCCCGGGCGTCCTGCTCTGCACAGACGGCTCATTGTCCGGGAGATAAACGCTGATGTGCACAAACACAAGTCCGACCCCACCCGGACACAATGCGTCGCCTTCACGTCTGCCTCACATAATATTGAAACGTGCCACCACCCGATATTCGTGCAAAGCGGCGGATAGAGTGCTCTTCTCCTCCCTGCGAGGGGGGGCAGATATGAATGGCGGCGCTTATATTTACTGCGAGCTGCTTCTCCAAAGCCCTCCACGTCGGGCAGAGACACTGCACGATTCAGCTCCAAACACTGCTCCCTCTGTTTACCTTGGGGCCGCGTCGCCCTGGCAACCACGGGCCGACTCCCTGCCCCTGCAGTCGCCGCTCGCCAGGAAACCCCCCCCATCCACGGGCTAAATGAGCCGGCTCCCACCCGGGCACCAGCTACCCAAAGCCACTAACTTCTGAGTCATTTGTACAGCTTTCCTTCACTGCTTCCGGTTCTTTCCTAGAAGCAACAGTTTGTGCTGCGGTCGTATTTACGTAGTCGGACGCATTTGTTCTTGAGAGCAGGGAAGCAGTGATTGCTGCAAAAGGCAGCAGCTATTAGAGCCCAAACTATTATTTTACTCATTGATGGAAGTCATCTGAAGCGGTTTTGGAGGTTTTAAGTCTTTTGTCAGTGTTCCCTGGTTGAATGTTTTCAAAATATGATGCACAACATGGGATCAAATGACCTCTTTGGATTAGAAGTTAAATCTAAATAGTCTTCTTACTAAATCAACTTTCTCTACATGGCTGTGCACAGAGGGACACTTAAGCGCTGTCATCATTGTGAGGACTAACTCTTCCAGTTTGTCTCCTCTGAGTCCTTTTTAATTGAAGCGCCTCGCAGGAGGAAGTCGCCCCGACTGAGATCAGCGCGGACGCTCCTGGAACGAAGCGAACGCCTTTTCAGTAAACAACAGTTATCGTAAGCAACTCAACAGCACGGTTCTCCTCAATGGACTCTGACCCACAGCTAGAAATCGTTCAGATCTTCACGTTGAATGCTTTCATGCTCCGGGCGCACGATGTCACAGCCGTCAGCACTAGAGATAAGCAAACGTGTTGGCTATTTACACAAAACAAAAGAAGACCATCATGCCCCAACGTGTAAACAAAGCCCGTTTGAATGTCACCAACAGCCCCAACGGCTCATCGTGACTGAACACCGACTGGGGACACGAAGACACTTCACAGATCCTAATCAGCAGCGTGTTATCTCTTTCTGTCACAGTAGAACGCATCAAAGAGAGAAAGCTTGAGATCTTCTGGTCTGTTTCACATAACAAGTATATCAAATAAATAATACAAAATACCTGCTGCCGTCTTAATGTGCATTAGCAGATTTAAATGCCCGGGGGGCTCATTAGCAAAGTATTCATTAGTGTGTTAGGTCTCATCTCAGACTGGGTCCGAGCCCCCACCCATGTGGGTGGAGGAGATTAAAAGCCACCTAAAAATAGGGGGTTTTATCTTGATGATGATTAACCAGAGAATACATAATCTTGGCAGTTAATCATCACACAACAACTTCAACCACAACGCAAAGCCTTCCCAGTGGAACCGCTGTCTTGTAACGTGTGTGGTTGACTGTGTGCGAGCCGCAGAGAAGATAAGGAACACAAAAAGACAAAAGTCTCCGGTCAATGATTGACTGAATACATGCGCGACATCTGGAACCACTTTCCCCAGTAACCGCTATCACAGAAGGAACCGACTTCACATTGATTAACAAACCTCAGGGAGGTCGTGAACTTCCGCCTCCACAGCGCAGTGAATGAAACGGCCATCCTCACATTGCAGAAGCTGCGACAAGGAAAGTTTGCTGGAAAAAATCCCCGGTCAACGCCGAAGGTCCTTACAGCAGTCACATAAGACATAAAAAAGTGAATTACTGTAGGACACGGTGAAACTGACGGGGTCTTTTCCTTCTTTAACGACAGGTTGTTAAATGCAGACTACAAGCGTTTCAGTGCCGATCAGCACTCTGTTAAATGAATCACCTACAGTCAACATTTAGAAGGGAGGAAAATGCAAACACGTGCAATCCAATAAAACTGTGCAGGCTAGTTTTCACAGCGGGACTCGTTTAGAGTCTGTCTCTAATCTACTGTAGTGGAACAAAATAAGAACAACAACAACAACATGTGAAGGACACAAGAAACGAGGACGTATTTTTCTGCAACTGATGATTATTTCTCAATATTGATTACAAGCTGCAGGAAAAACCACATCCCGTACAAAACACAAGAGCAACCAGATTTTGAAGCTACTACGACGAGGCGAAGCAATAACGCATTCCATGTGTCGTACACAATACTAATCTTTGGGTTTTGGGTTGTTGGTCAGACAAAAGCAGACATTTTTCACAATTTTCTGACGTCACTGCACCCGCACTGGATTTCAGACACCAAATCCGACCGCATCTCCTCCACAATTAAACAAGAATGACATTGAGCCTCATTAAAAAACTTCTTCCTGGTTGGGCCTCGTCCTTACTCGGCTAAACAAAACAGAGGAGGAAAGACTCTCCCAAGGCGTTGTCCCCTCTAAAAATAGTAACTGTGATCATGACTTTATCTAGACTCCAGTGGTTGCTGCAGTAATCAGGTTGGACTTGCATCATGTCGATTATAACAGGCAGATGGAATTTAGGTAATACTTCATTTATTCCAGCACTGGCAGAACTTAAAGTAAGTAAGTAAAATACTGGCTGCTTTAGTCTAGATGTGTTTATGTTGAATGTTTAACTGGAAAAATGTATGACCTAAGTGGTTTGTTCTTTCTAGAAATACGTGGTTCCCACAGGACACCAACGCTGCAAACGTGATGACCTCATAGAGCACGATGGAGTGATGTAGACTGAAGTAGACGACAGGATGCAATGACCTCAGAGTACGATGTAGTGATGTGGATTAAACTACACGACAGGATAAACACCGACATAGAACCACCGTATATTTGGCCCGGCCCCTGCAGACGCACATGCTCCTCTTTCTGGACCGACAGCTGTGACTGGTGACGCATCACTTCTGTAGCTCCTCCCCCAGAGGTGCTGTTGTTTTTATTCTATGAGGCTCCCCCCAGCCAACTAGAGTGAGATGTCTGCTCACACCTGCTCATGTTACAAGGCCTGTGAAGGTGCAGCAACAGATGGTCGATCGCAGCAGGGGGACAAACCGACCAGCAAGGACAATTAAGCTGAGGAAAAACCACGTTCTCTGGGGGCTCCGGCTGTCCTTGAAAAACACCTTGCTGCAGCTGATTTTAAGGCTATACAAATGTGCATTTAAATTAACCATATTAAATAGACGACAATCACACACGCACACAAAACCCTCAGTGGCACTTAAATCATACGTCGAGTCACCTCTTGCATGCTTCTCTTGGCCCTCCTCAGAGCATCCTCGTAGCCCTTCTGCCTCAGCTCGCTCAGGCTCTCGTAGTACTCCTCCGTGTCCTCGCTCTCGGAGAAGAGCACCTCCGACAGGATCTTCCAGCCGCAGGTGTCCAGGGCGTGACCCAGGTACACCTGCAGCTGGTAGCACAGGGCGTCCGTCTCCCGCTGCGACACGCCGGGGGCGCCGAAGAGCACCGACCACACGCCGGACTGCTCCTCGGGGAAGGGGGGCAGACACGGCTCCAGGTCCGAGTTGACGGCGCACAGCTGGAGGTGGGCCGCCCTCAGGTCCTGGAAGGAGAACAGCCCGGCCCAGCTGAAGTCCTCGCGGCCGCCGCCGCCGCCGCCGTCCCCGTCCTCCGGGGAGGGCAGGACATCCACGGGGTCCAGGACCTCGATATCGATGGCTTTCGGCGTCACGACGTCCCAGGACGCCAGCGTGGGGCTGACACGCTCGGGTGTCTCCGAACCGCCGGGCCTCAGAGCGTTTCTGTCCCAGATAACGGTCTTCCCCTTGGAGGGAGAGTGCGGTCCAACTTTACCCGCCGGGATGACTTCATCTTTCGGACTTGTCGTGTGTTTTTCCGCCGCGGAGGGGCCCGGCGGAGGGAGCGAAGCGGCGCCGTCGACGACGAGGGGGTCCAGCAGAAAAGTAGTCCGCCTCTGGACGGTTCTGTTGTGGCAGGTTATGGCGAACTTTCCCTCGACGACGTTCCAGGCCACGATGAAGACAAATTTGTGCCGTTCCTTTTCGTCGAAGACTCTCGGTCGGACGGACACCCACTCGGACTCCAAGTTGTCCTCCATCGTGAATGACATCTCATCCAGTCAGGAGAAATAAAAAGGAGAAAAAAAAAAAGATAATCGCTCGCTTGCTAAAAAAAAGAAAAGAAAAATAATCTGACGTAAATTAGAGGCTAACGGCCCCTGCTAGCTAGCTAACGTTAGCTGCGAAAGTACGTTTCAACGCGGCCGAAGCGAATCGACCGACCGAAGTAAGACGCGAAACAAAAGGCGGTCCGGCTTTTGTTTACCCGCCGCCAGCTGCGCCAGAGCCGGAGAACGTCGCAGCGGACGTCGGTCGTCCCTCCTCCTCCTCCTCCTCCTCCCGACCGTCGGGTTCGGGCTGCGGGCAGAAAGACGGTTCAGGCGGCCGCACGCGCGCGGACACGGCGGCGGGGAGCGGGCTTCGAAACGTCGGCCGTTGTCATAGCGACACCTGCCCGGTCACCTGCGCTCCTCTCGTCCCGAACGCGCTCGTTCCTTTGTCCGCGTGTGAGCTTCTGTTTACAAGCAGCCACGGCGCGCGCGTGCGTGCGTGCGTGCTGTCGAATCCGGGGAGGGATTTAACTGGTGCAACACCCCCCCACAGTGCTGTGTTCACGGTCCAAGACGAGAATAGGAAATATTTCAGATCAATATACACTCAGAAATTTAAACGCCGTGAAAAGTAAAAGGGTAAATAATTGATTGTAGGGGGTGTTTATTATTTTATTAACAAAATAAATACCGATGGATTTTATGTTAAAATATAGTTTTTAATGCATTGATATTTTGTATGTTTAAGGCACGACGTGGAAGCACATTTTCCCCAGGTAACCTGAACGCAGCACACTTGTCCCTTTAACAGGAGAGTTTACCAAACAAAGCGAAATGCAAACGCTTCAAATACATCTGCGTTTATTAGATTTCTTCAATTTTCGATGTAATGTTTTTCATTTTCAAAGTTGTCCGTTTTCCTCAATCCTTGCCGCCTTTTAAAAATCGATCTCTGGGTTTGTCTTACACCAGACGTGCACGAGGAGCATAAACATCTGCACGTGGGCAAATCCATGACGCAAACTCGATATGTGACGTCATGTCTACTGGATGATGTACGGCGAGTCAAGTAGGTCAAAAAGAAATCTGTTGTCAACAAACCCGAAAAATCGGTTTCAAAGCCCTGGATCGATGAAATCCAACTATTAAGAGGCTTTAAAGATGTACTTCTTGTGTCCTTTTTCATCGTCCTTTCAGAATCATCTCCCACGAGGATATTTTGTAACATTAACTTACATATTTGTATATTTCAGAGGTTGTAAATGTGGTTCACCGGGTATACATCTTGCAATAAATACATTAACAAAGTTATTAAAACCACGTCCTAATATTTCCACATCACTGTGCAGACAAACACAGGGAAACACAACACACACACACACACACACACACACCTTTGTTAAATGTTCTCCGGTTTAATAATAGGAACACTGAGCAATGTCTGTTAAAAATCAGTTTTGAAAAAACTTGTTCAGTTTCTCCAAATACCGCTTGTTTTTAGTCCACTAGATGGCAGCAGCACATTGGAATTGTTATCATCGAGGGATGTTAACGTTGCTATCATTAAAAAAGGTGGTACTGAAGATGTTGGTACGATGGATCACTGGGGCCATTCGAAAGGGCGATTGTTGATTGTGTTGGATCCCCGAGGATCTGGTCAAATTATTTGTATTGTTTGGTCCGAAAGTCTTCTTGCTGATGATTTGTCACATGCATGTATGGGGGGGGTGGCGGGGGGTTACGTGCCAGGCCGGGGCAAGTCACCCGTGTGTGCATCCTTCCTTCCTTCCTTCCTGCCTTTTTTTCTGTGCCAACAAGGTGCTGGGTTTCCTCCAGTGCCGTTGCTGTGAATGCACATCGTTTAATTGTGTTTAAATGAGATTATTGGCTGGGATATGAAGCCTTTTAGTTTGTGTTGATTTCTATTTGTTTGGACCGACCACATTTGTCTCATCCTCTCCCACAATGTCTGAGGACACTTTCCATTCTTTGGTTGTCATGTTACCGTCTCTCCTTTCACTCCCTCGACTGAGAAAGCGGATGCCACAATGATTAAATGTCATTATGCAACAACCAAATGCATTTGCTACGTGTGAAACTCTCGTTTGGAGGAATTGCAACAGCAGCAAAGATACGACAGAATCTAAACATCAACAACTCTACAACTGGCAATCATTGTCAATCATTGGAGTAGACGGAGTCCACTTCCTCTTGGCCCACTAAGGTGCAGCTCGAGCTGGCATGTAACATTAGAGCCAGGTCTCCGTAAGTTGCATGCATGTAAAGTTAAAAGTACAATATCTGCCTCTGAAATAAAGCATTGAGCTGCAGTAAAGGCCTCAAGATAGCTCAGTTCTTACTTTCCACCAACGTATCTATAAACAAGAACTTTGATATCACAAAAACTAAGTAAATTGCATTACTGTTTTTCCCGGGGAACCATCCAGTTAAAGAATGAAAGTAATAACTCACTAAAAGTTTAGTCTGCATCTTTGTTAATATTTTACAGGTGATAATTCCTTTTTGCAGAATTAGAGAAGTAAAAACAAATGAAAAAGAACATAGCTCATACAATTGGAAGTTTATTGCCATACATTTGCAGTGTTAAGTGTTAATTACTTGCATGCAACAGCAGCCGCAATGATATATTTTTCGCCGGGCTCCATTGTTGCTTGAGGCTGCAAAGCTTTAGCACATGATGCTAATCTGCCACACAGACTAAAAATGGTCCTAAAAAGACAAACAGAACACTTTGTGTTATTTAAGATGTGTCTTCATGTCCATTGTCTCATTGTCTTACTGTCCAATGTTATGCAACAACCGCCATGTCAAATTCCTTGTATGTCTAACATATTTTGGCAATAAACGTCCCTGATTCCTGACTTCAGGGACTCGTCTTCACTGGTTTTTGTTGGCCTTGTCAAAGAGAGCCTTCAGCTGGTCCTGAGAGGTGGCCTCCTTCTGCTGCATCAGGTCAGCGTGACCTTTGGTGACCCCCCAGGCGTCGGGCGTGGCCATGGAGGGGCAGAGGGGACGGCCGGACGCGGGCTTCAGGTTCTCCCAGTAGTCACGACGGGCCCTGCGGACAGGAGAAGCTTACACACCAAACCGCAGGTCATGTTGAGAGAAGGAGGACGTCTCTGCCGTACCTGGCTCTGACCCAAGGCTTCGTGTGCATCTCCAGGCCGGCGCCCCAGGTGCCGTGCTTCTCGGAGCCGGCGGGCAGGCCGCCCCTCTCCGGCGCCAGCTCCTCAGCCAGGGCGCGGACGTGATAGGCCTCGAATCCACAGCAGCCCCCGATGTAGCGGATGCCGGCTTTGTAGGCCTCGCGGGCGTACTTCTGCATGTCCCACCTGGTCAGGACCCTCGGCTCCAGACCTGCCGGGGACAAAGTCCTCGTTAACGGTGTTTTCGTTTCCATGGAGACGTTGAGAAGCAGCTGTTTTTGGGTGTCTACGCGTGCCGAAAGGGAACTCTGGCAGATCGATGAAACCCTGGCAGTTGCAGTCGGGAGTGTGGTACGCCAGCGGCTGGCTCATGTAGTGAGCCTTCAGCCCGGCTTTCTCCACCGCCTCCTTCATCATCTTCACTGTCTTCACGCAGGTCTCCGGGTCAAAGTGGCAGTTGACGCCCACAACGTGAGCTCCTGCGGGGAGGAGACACGCAAACGTTGGAGAAATCTGCCCATCTGCTGACCAGAGCTCGTGTGCTCCGGTCCGCCACAGCGTTCTCCTTCCACTAGGTGGCCTCCGAGTCTAAGCACCGGCTTTGACGAGTCTGACCGCACAGTCCCCGGGGCGGACTCCGTTCAGGTCCCCCTCCGGGCCGATGCACAGGGTTGCGGCCACGGGCTTCCCGGTGCTCTTCAAAACCTGCACGGCCCACTCAGCCTCCTCCACGTGCTCAAAGTACTGCGAGTAAGAAGCACGATGAAGGAAATGTCAATTTTGCTCGTTGAAATGAGTGTTTAAGTTGAAATAAGCTAAGAATAAAATAATAGACGGTAACCCCATTACTGGACGTAGCTCTTTCCTCAGCTTTCTGATGTCTTTTTACCTCTGCAATCAAGAAGTCCACGTTCTTCTGGACAAAGACGTCGATCTGTTTCTTGAAGATGGCCTTCACGTCGTCCTCGCTCTTGCAGCTGAGGTAAGCGGGGGTCTGAGAGACTCCTCCCGCCACCAGAGCACCACCTTCATCGGCCACCTCCCTGGCCAGGTCACAAGCAGCCTCGTTGATCTGCTGCCCCTGAAGAGCGGAAAGAAAAGGAAAACACTTGAATGCGTCTCCTCGGGTGACGGGAGCACAGGGTTCTTGCGTCCGTTCTTCCGGGCCGGGGAGAACGCCAGCTCTGCCGCCGAGCTGCCGCCTCCTCCCCAGGACTGGAGGTGAGGCCTCGGAGCAGCTGCAGCTCCAACGATCCGAGCGACAAACTCACAGTGAAGCGCTGAGTGTGGCCCCTGTTCTCCAGTTTGTCGTCGCTGGCGTAGAAAGTGAACGTCTGCATGACATCGGAGCCCGCTCTCAGGAACTCTCTGTGCAGCTGCCGCACTGAAACGCCAAGAGGGCTCCATTCAGCGCGTGACGCTGGACGTGCGGGTCAGAACACAAGAATAGAAAAGGGATGATAAACGAGCAGTACCTGCTTCTGGGTGCTCGGCTGCGGCCTCGGGGGTCCACGGCCCTGCCTTGACGTAACCCCTCTTCTCCAGGGCGAAGACGAAGCCTCCGTCCCCGATGACGACCTCCCCCGCGTCCAGACGCGCCAGAATGCCCTGCGAGGAGACAAAGCGTGCCGGTGGCACAGAAATGCACGCGCGGGTTGTTACAGTTAACTGTCGGCGGGTTGTCAGTGTGCAGAACCGCTTCCTTTTTGCACAAAAAAACAAGCGGATCCTGAGTGACAAAGTGTCAAAGCTGCGACATGCAACGCGTTAAAATGAACACAAGCATGCGAGTTGTTTGGTGTGATGCACGATGTCTTGGTGCTCACCTTCCCTGCGCCTGGTGCCATGGTTATTGCTGCAGCGCCCGGCCCTCTCGAGTTCAGAACGGGCTCTGTGCAGACATCCCGCTGCATTTATAATCCATGGAGGGGGTCGGGGTCGGATGTCACTCAGGAGGAACCGCCTTTCTCTCGCACAGACCACCTTTTTTTATCCACTTCTGGCAAGTTTGCCGTCGAAAAGCTTTCGTTCAGGAAACGAAAAAATGAAAACGAAATGCTTTAGTAATGACAACAAGGGGATTGTCTTTTGCAAACGATAATTTGACTCATGGACACCAAAGTAGAGTTTGGTTGAACTGCATTTTTCACCTTTTCAAAAGACAGAATCTATAACAATGCAGACGTTATGGAGATGAGTTTATTTAGAACGTATTCTGAAAGTGTATGACGTCATGGCTTGTTGACAAAGGTGTTAAAGTTAGTGCAGTTCTACGTGTACTTTGTGAAATACAGTGCTGTGATAAAGCCCCAAGTAAGAGGAAGACGACCTGATTGGTTTGGCA